AGAATGAGAGTTGTTTCCGATAATGGTACTTTTTTTTGGAATTGCAACTGTTTCTGAAAATGGACGTTGCAAAAGTCTATTTATTCTCTTATTCCTACAAGAAAAAATTAAACTTTTTAACAATAGACAATCCCTTCTTGTGAGTGACTCTAACAAAGTCATAGATTTTTTGACCAACTGTAGTGATAAAGACTTTAAGGCCTTCTCAGTGGACATCAAAGGTCTCTACTATTCTCTACCACCAAACCAACTTGTGACATCTGTAGAAGATTGCATTGACACTTTTGGAGCCATTGCCTTCCAGAATGAGACAAGAATTTCCCCAAACTAGTTTCCTACTTGCGGTTTATTTAAAATTTATCATTGCAGCTTCGAAATATAATACCTTCGTAAAAAGCCAGAGGCATGCATTGGACCATGCATAGCGCCGGCTCTGAGCAGCTTGTATCTGATATATCATTACAGGATTCTTCTTCAGTGCCTAGATAACTGTATTGTTCCGAAAGTGTTCCGCTTCGCTGGTGCTACCTCATTCTCTTACACTGTTCAGACTGCGAAATTCACCTTAAGATAAGTAATGTCCTATCATGTTTTAAGAACCGTCTAAAACCACTAGAATTAACGCGTAAGCTTATGGAGACAGAATCCTTATGCTTCTTGAATTTATGGTTAACTCTGTTAGATAATCACATGTGCTGGATGTACCAACCACGAGGAAAGAGACCTCCCCTTCAGTTCCAGTCGGCACTTTCGAAGCTTGTAAAAAAAAGGCATAATAAAGCCACGCCTCACCAATGCCATTAGCAAGCCATTTTATCATGCTTTCAAAGTAAGCTTTGAGAAACAAATTTCTGGATTACAATCGGCAGGGTACCTTATATACGTATTAGCAACTGTAGCAGACGATATTCTTTAGAAAATAAGAAAGGGTGAACCTAAAAAATGCGAGTTAAGGGACAGAAAGATGAAGACAGCTGTAACAGCTGTTATTCCTAATATACATCAAGTTTGACATGGTCCTAAAAAGATAGAGAATTGCATTAACATTAACGACACCTTCTCAGCGCCAAACAAGCTTTCTGTCCTGTGTAGGAAAGTAAATCACTCAACACACCATAAATTTGGCTGCAAAACAAAAAAAAAAGGAAAAAAATAGAAGAAAACGAACATGTTTTAAGCCTTGCTCCGAAGCAGTATTTTGTTCTGTTCCACTCTCACGCAGCAAAAATGTATCGGTCAAACTGGCCGGTGATCGATAACGAGAACATCGTTATAACATTTAACACCCACAAAGTTATTTCTAGACATCTCGACATCCACTGCAGGGATTGGGGGTACTCCGCAGATTTCGAGAAATGTACCGTCATAGCTAGGATTGAAAACCAGTTCACCAGAGAAATAATACGGGCAGAGATTATCGCACCTAGGAGACAATTGTGTCAGGAGCCCATTCCTAATGCTATCTGAAATATTAGTAGAATATTTAGCGCGATGATCGCAATGGCTTGTAAGAAGATTTTTTTTTCCCTTCTTTTCATTTATAGCAAATCTGGTATTTAAACTAGTTTCGTGAAGAGAAGGTAGAAGAAGAATACAAATGAGTAGCAAGATGGCGCGTGTGTTTGTCTCCTTGTGTGTCTCTCGTTTTTTCTTCGTCTCTTGCGCTGTAACCTCAAGATGAATAAACAACTCGCCCAAGCTTCCGTCTTAAAGGGAAGCTGAAGCGCCTCTTGAAAACAAAAAGTTAGAGGTTAATTCTGGTGTATTTTTATCCCGTGAATTTGAATATCGCGTTCGTTTTGGCCGAAGATGTAACTAAACGCGAAAAAAAAAAAGGAAAACCCCCGACGAGTCGTGACGTCATACTAAGATCTTAGGGCTGCCAAGCGTGAGTCGCTCCTGTCGCTTGCTGTCTGACTCGCCTGAACCATCCCCGAACTTCAGAAACTCGGGCAGTGGTTTTCGCGACCATCAGAAGAACATGTCGTCCTCATCTTGCGTATTATATTACCACTTAATCACCATCGCTAGACGCGACAGGCCTCTGTGGTAAGGGCTGTTGCCTTTATTATGGCGCCGTAACTCTCCTAAGCAAATAAAAACTGTTGTTACTAATATTATTGTCTCAAACGTTGAATGTGGGCACGTGGTATGGAGCACGTATTTTCGTTAAAGCGTATCAAGGGCCGCTCAGCTGGTGCGCTGACTCTGGCAGTGCTTTCTTTTACCCAAGCTTTGCTAAGACACGGTTTCTAACAAGCTGGCCGTGATCAGCAGTAAACAGTAAGAGAGAATATCGCACAAAATTCCACTGCGGAGAAAGAGCCGAAGCCGTGAAAGCCCTGCCAGTAGCAAAGTCATGCTGAGACAACGTCGTAGGAAAACTTGAGTGAAAAGCTAAAAAAAAACAAAAAACGACAGAACAAAGATGATACGTAAAAATAAACAAACAAAGATATCACGAAAATAAAAATGTAACTTAAAGTTTCAAGTGAATGACGAGACCAAGGAACTCGGACCGCTCTTCCTTTTATTCACTGAAGCGATCTGCGAGGGCATAATGAGCCTGCTCGGTCTCACAAAGAAAATTGTATTTTTTTATCCTAAATTTGATTAAAACTCTCTATTGACTCGCCACCATTTTTGTCCAAAATGATTGGACGGCACAGCTTGTCTGAATACCATCGGGCGTGCATTTATTATATAGCTTTTACGGTTTTCAATGAGTGAACAGTCGGGTTTAAACTTAAAGCTTCCGTGAAAAAAGCAATGTATTATGTTGAGGAGCAACGACTATAATTCGGACAAATAAGCACCTTTTTTACCCGGGCAGCGGGCTAAGCAGGCTCGACAATTATGATTTTTCGGGCCTGTACCTGGTTGGAGATGACCCTTTGTATAGCCGTTGTAATACAGTCTAAAATAGAAGCAGAAAAAGATTACACTAGCTTCATCGCCACACCCTTACATCAGCTATTGTGTCCCTTTACGTCACACTGCAGCGTGACATCACGCTGTCTCGTGATGCCACATCCTTCGCGACGGTTGTATGATTGTTTTTTTTCCTAAAATTCGGTTGATCAAACACATTCTGTTTTAAAATTCCTTGCAACGTGGTGTTTTTTTTGTTTTTTTTTTGTTTTTATTTTTCTTTCGCATTCAAGTATGCGATCTCCACGTCCGCCGAAACTGCGGGGCGCGCAGAGTTGAACGATCTTCGGCAGTTCCGTTTCCCATTACAACCCGTTCTACCGTTAAGAAAACAACAACCCTACAGCAGACGACGCACACTTTTATTAAAAGGGCATGAAACCCGTCCGATTCAATGGCTCGGACACGGAGTGGACGGACGGCTTCCGGAAGGGGCGAGAGGGAAAGCTACGGCGCGTCCCGCCGGTCACTTCCGGCGACCATCCCGACGCAGTTTGGTGCATCCAGGGTCCTTTGCACGTTGACCAGAGCGGCAACTATATACGAAAAATAAAAGAAAGAAAAAAGTTACGCCTCCGCGATGTGCGCGATGAAGTCGATGACCTCCGCACTGGACATCGCGGCTCGTATACAGGGTAGCATCGATACACTAGACACCCCGTCAAATGAGCTTAACAGATATACCATTTTTCTTTTATCTTTTTGCTTAATGGGAAAGATCTAGTTTTTTGTTTTATATCACCACCAGTGTACAGACAAACGAGAAACACGCGTATGCACGTTTTAGTTCCTAAACCTAACGGCTTATGTGTAACTTTCAATCGGGGCCACATAAGATCCTCTGTAAATGTACCTAAAATGAAGTTACACCTGCTCGTAATACATGGTACCTGGCACTTCATATAGGTACTAACTTACTTCCACCTTGCATAGATTTATATACAGTCGCTTTGAAGTTATATTTTTTATTTATATGTTATACTTCAGAAATCTACAGATATATAACAATAATTGTGAAGCCGATGTCTTAACGCAGTAATTCTCAACCACTGATGTTTCGCGTACACCTTGTTTATCGTGGAAGATAATGGAGGACCCCATTCGTAGCGGGGGGACGGTAAAGGTATCGGTTAATTATGATAATCATTTAATAAATGGATATAACTATGGTTTTTTGTGAAGTACACTTCTCTAATTGACACACACACGAAAAAACTTCCCAAAAAATTGGAACGTTTCTTCTTAATGTGAAAAAAGCCAACTTTTATTGCGGGACTTGACTGATGAGGCAGGGCTTCGCGGACCTCTAGAATGCCCTCACGGACCCCAAAGGGTGCGCGGACCCACCCATTTGAGAACCACTGTCTTAACGTATTCACTGCCGGATAATTACCAAAAATACTCATGTACCCCCTCTTGGTTTATTCATTTCACAATTATAATAAGCGAAATCTAAACCATCGCGAGCTTTTCCTCACACCTAAAAACCTTGAGTCTTTGGAAACAATGCTGATCAGACGCCGTCTCGTTACCAGATGGCGTAACAATTCAAGAGATGCTTTCTCTAAATCATAATTCTTCATGACACTCTCTGTGGCCTCTCTGCTGAGCTTCAACATTCTCCATACAAGGATGCTTTTATCTTTGTCACATTCGCGGCATTTCGATAGTCACAACCCCACTTTGCTTGCGGCATAGACGTCCATGTTAGTCAATGTCTGAACCGCATGCAGTTTCTCTGTTGTGATGGCACGATTTTGAGCCAAATGTGCATATATGGCTCTCCTTGGCGCAGCTGGAGATTCGCGACAAGTACCTGCGGAAAAATAACTTTCTGTGGTTACAAGTTACTACAAACTAAATCGAATAACAGCAATTAACAAATAATAATTAATTATATAATTATCTAACTAATTAAATAATTATTTGTGCATTTAAAGGTCAAAGTGTATCAATTTGCAGTTAACCTTCGGAACCCTTCTTTCGATTAGTCGAGGAGTTGTTTAATGTTTAGCTCTAGATTGCCTTGCATGTATTTATTTCTTTTTTTTTTTTTCTTTTTCTTATAGCTCAAAGTTGCAATAATGGCGTTGGCAAGCTCGTCTACGAAAAGATTGCGGACTACAAACTCAGTGCTGGCTTCGGCGGCGGGAGGCAGCGGGTGGAACTGGTGAGTGGTCCCTACGTGAATTAGAGACGCTTTTTTTATTTCTTTTAGTTTTCTGAAATTTGGTGGGCTTACGGGTTAAAGCGGATGGCGGGGAAAAACATTTATACTGTCTCGTCACCATAGCTAAGGTGAGGGTTGTGTAAAACAAAGCTTTGTCGCGGGAACAGGATGCACTAAGCTAACATAAATATTTTAAAATTTTAGTGTTTTCTTTTATTTGTACAACCTAATGAGAGCGGATGCTAAGTTTTAAGCACACCTTGAAAGTGAAAGCTGCGAATACCGTTTCGAGTAGAATTGCGCAGTGTCATGCCTAGCTTTAACACTATTCAGAAACTCGGTTCTTGTGGCTTTACATTTCACCGTAAACGCTATGAATGACGCAGTTCTATGCGATTCTAACCAGTTGTTGCACACCCCTAATGATCATTAATTACATAATATACCGAAAGGAAAGACTTATATGGTAACGGACAGCGTTTCTCACTTCGAGATTTTGTTCTCTAGGTTGTCTCATCAAGCGAGAGTGTAATAATATAATTTTCCAAGTGATCTTTAGCTTATTGCTCCCCCCCCCCCCCCCCCCCAATCTGTCTTTAGGTTTCCGTAAATAAAGTCATCTCTGGAAGCACGGAATCTGATCAGCGAGTGTATAAAATTTCATCGAGTCTATTTTCCCGCGGAACCTATGGATAGACCTTGGCGAAAGTCGCCTTCTGCGGGCTGCCATCTTTGTCTGCTGGGCTGTGAAACGCCCTCTGAGCATGCGCTGTTGATCTGCTGTGCGGTATATCGGACGCTGCGCATGCCACCACAGCTCAGTGACTGAGCAGTTTTCGCCCGGGTGATAAGCGATGTAAAGGTGTATACGGAGGAAGACTCGGCGAATGACGAAGCTCGAACTATGTTCAGTCCTAAGAACAACAGTCTGCGCTGTGCCGCTGTGTATGACGTAAGCTCGTGAATCGTCCTGTTGAAGGCCCGTTCACACACTTGCCTCTTCTTTGAACCGGAGAATCTAAAGACCGGTTTCCTTTCGCAATGGCTCTCTCGCAGCCGATCGTAAGCCGTCACAAGAGATTTAAAAACCGGTCGTTTTTAAATATCTTTTAAATTTGTTCACAAACGCAAGTTTGTGAACAACCTTTCAAGGCCCGTTCACACTCTTGCAACTGAGTACGACCGAGAGAGCCGAGACTTATTAAAACCTCTTAAAATTTCTTAGGACGAGAGAACACACGTGCACTCTGGCGCCATCTATGCGGTGACCCTGGTACTGCAATTCACAACAGCGAAGGTTTTGCGGGATTTCCGAGGTCAAATGTGTGTAATACCCATGAGAAAAGCTCGTTTTTAACGCTGACAAGCCTTTTTCGAGCCAAGAATGAAAGGATAATAATGCTCAAAAGAAATAGAAAATATGCCAGACCGCAAAGTTTACATTGCTACCCAATAGATGGCGCCAGTGTATCCTCTCGTTGTAAGAGGTTTTAAGGCACCCAGTTTTAAGAGGTCGCAAGAGTGTGAACGGGCCTTCAGTGTCACTGCGCCGGCCTTTTTTTTTTATGTATTTTTGTTTTACATTAGGCAGTTTTAGATTAGCGCACGTACGCAAAAAAAGAGAGTCGTCGCCACTGTGCACGCGCCGAACGCTAACTGCGGTTTGCGCCCTGCGCGCGCTATTTTAGCGTACGTAATTTCTCAGAACTTGCGCGCGTACGCAAAGAGTCTTTGCACTCGTTTGCGTTGTCCTGAGGAGGTTTCTGAAATCGCCTAAATATTGAGACAACTCACTCTTTTGGCTCTAAGCGTCCTAGAAATCCCTATATCATGACGATACGCGGCCGATCTCCCTATTAAAAAAAAAAAATTCGAAGATCGCAATACATCGAGGTCGTCTCGGGCTATGCGAGGAGCATGGCCTGGCAGACGTCCCTGCATCCTCAGATCAAGCCCCTACCTAACGTTTGCCAAGAGCGGCGATATTGTAGGTGGGGAACGCACGTCGCGGAAGCTCTGTGGAAACTTTAAGTCGCATTCAGGGTAACTTCACGAGCGAGCCGTACTGCCGCGATCTGGCGCTGTTTTTTTGGGAACTTATGACGTGGCGGAATTCCAACAAAGATTCACAAACCACCGGCAGACGCAATGTTTAAATCTGTTAATTCGTTTTAAAACTAGTTATCTTAATTTCTCTGCCGTCAGCTCAGAAGTACCAGTCTAGGATAGCGTTCCTCGGCCGCCGGCATAACAGGGACCAAATCGAAACAAAGAGATAAGTGCAAGTACTTCGGTTCCGTACCCCTTTAAGGTGATACGAGGTATACTGGTAGTTGTAAATATAGTCCTAACGTCGTTATTCGTCGAGCTCTCTTCGTAGATTACAGCGATTGGTTCTTGCCAGTGCTCTTCGGGAAAGCAGAAGCTCGTGATTTCTTATGGGCACTGACAGCATACTAAAACGCCGGACCTAATTTATTATGTTGATGCTTCATTCCCGTGATTGGGTGTTCTTATCAGCCAAGGCCACACTCTCTTCGGCTACGGAGTGAAAAAAAAAGACTCCGGAATCAACACGCCCCGCCTTTCTTAAGGTATCAGAGATGTAGATGCACACGCGCGATGCTCATCAGTTCCTGCTCTCGTTTCTCTCTCTGCGCGTGCAGATCACGCGCGCCGAGCAGCCCGTCAAAGTGCTCGAGGAGTGCGTGCGTCGATGCCAGGAAGACCGGACGACGGCGGTGGCCCAGTGCCTCTCGTTCGACTTCATGCCCGGTCGGCGGAGACCCGCCACCCCGGCCACGTCAACGGGGTCGGCGCCCGTCGAGTTCGAGGAGTCCGTCTGCTACCTCTACTACGACAGGGCGTCGCCCGACGGCGGCGAGACCCTGGTGCGACAGAACAACGCCTGGCACTTCAACGAAGTCTGCCTCTCGTGTGAGTGGCGCACTTTCGTCTGTGTACGCTTCCCGTCCAGTTGGGCACGCCTCGGTCGCGCTGTCGTCTTCAAGCCGCAGTCGCTTTGCTCGTATACATCGCACGCGAAACGAGGTGTTCGCTACAGACATGATGACAAAGTGTGCAGACAGCTTCTTATTACCAGTGCGGCAAGACAGTCGTTCAAGAAAGAAACATGCCTCATACACTGTTTGCAGACTGTCTCTTGTATAATATATTACCACTATGACTGCGGTTTTAACCTCTAGGACACGGGGAAAGAAGGGGGAGCTATATCTGAACGAGGCCTGTCAAGACGGTAAAAGTTTGCTCGGGCTTCGCGCTTCTAACGGCAGGGGGCACTCTCGGTTTGGGGCCCTTGCGGCAGCCGCGGTCGCGCAACAGGGGACCTTGTGAACGTGTGCGCGCGTATAAGGACGGCTCTTTGATTAGTTCTTATTGGTCCCTTACATGCTGCGCCATCTCGCGGCCTTTGTCAGCAATGCGAGCCGACCTTCGCAACGTTTATTGCACGACAAGACGACACCGCCCAGAGACATCTCTTTTCTTCCGCCGTGGTCCGGGACCCACTGCAAGAAATGTCCATATGCCTTCTTTCTTGCGGAGCACTCAGAAAGTCAATAGGGACTTTTAGCAATCCTTTACCGTGTTCCACGTATCCCACTACCGGAGCTTTTGAAGCATGTTTTACAGCGCGCGCCCCGTGGTCATGGTATCACTAGGGCTTGCGCTTAAAAAGCATGCTTCTCAAACTCCGGTATAGTACTGCAAGCGGAACGCTTTAACGGTTTGCTAAAGGCCCCTAATCACTGCAATCAACGGTAGACGGTCGGCAAATGACGATGCCGAAGATATGTACAGGCTCTAAAATATAACTGTGCCGTGACACAGAACCATGACGTTTCATATGCTTCCGTCATGATAAATGTCACATAGCATACTTTTTTCTTTTCAATACAAAATTTCGCTATTGCAATTTGGCTCTTCATAGATTGCGGTGACTGGCTTTCTCAGTGATTTGCACGAAAGCAGGCGCACTTGCATTCTTAAATGACTAATCCCACTTTCGCTTTTCTTTCTTTTTTCTTTTTGCGTTGCATTTAAGAAGTTATGTGGGACCGAATAAGATGGGAGAACAAAATTCCAAACTCGGCAGCTTGTGCAATTCTCCTAGTGTGAGAACAATTTGAGGATTATATTAGATTATGCGGGACTGTACCGCAGATAGTGAAGATTGAAGGAGCAAATTAGTTGGTGCAGCGTCAATATGAAAATCATTTTTTGTCTAATTTATAGCGAAACATGACTTAAACGGTTGCCCAATATGTACTCTTACTTCTGTTCATTTTCAACATGAATACACTCACCACATCGTGGCCGTCTGCGCGCACAATGTTAATGGAAGTGCGAGTGAATAAGTAGAGACACTTCGTGGTATAATTTTATGCTTTTATTTTTATTAGTAGAGTACTTTCTGAACACTTTAGATGCCTCTAATAACGAAATTTGAATCTACTAGAGATCCTGCTTCTCTTTACCTTCGGCCTGAAGTGCTTTTTTGCAAGTCTTGACATGGCTTAGCCCAAGGGTTTCCAGAATCCAGCCCGAAAGCCAGATCTGGCTCGCGGGCTGGACTATGATCTTCCGACCAACCCGTGGCTGGCCGCAGCGCCTCCAGTGAGGCCGGGATAGCGGCCACTTATGGCAAACCCGCTGCTATCGGCACAAAGATTAGCGCACGTAAAGAAACGGCGGCGCGACGTGCAGCAAACGAATCATATCGGTTCTTATTGATATCCCACTGATAGTTTTGTGCCATATTTATTGTATATTGTCAGCACCACGATCCCCAGTGTTAGTTGTTTGTGCTATGTCGCTTCAATTGCGCTAAAAAAATTTTGCGTCTTATGTACGCATAGGGCTTAGTGTCTTGAATCATAACTTCCCTATTTTGGTCATGAGTTCTAACATTCTAATGTAGTGTTTTGTCCTTTCTGAATAAGGCAAATTATCAGTTCCTATTGATTTAATGATTTATGTCTGACGTGCTTTCTCTGCCAATTTTTTTTTAATATCATAATTAGCTAAACGTGTAATGTAAAAATAAGGTGTTTGCGTCTATATTCACTTTAGATATTTTGGCATTGTAATTTAAAATGATGTATTGAAATTGTCATCGACTCATTTGTTTATGTTTTCGTCGTTTATATTCGATTATTTATTATCCGGCGCTCGAGACTGCGACAATCACCAACCCAGCTCCTCTGTCAAAACTTGTGGAGGCCACTTACTTAGCCCATCGTATGCACTCTAGCAAAGGTTTTTGAGTTGCGCTTTCCTGCAGAACACGAAGACAGCCAATCAGGACGAAGAAGAGAAAGACATCAGCGAACGCTGAAGCTTATAAGATGAATCGATTTGAAAAATGCCATGTGCTCTGGGGCAATGTGCAAGTGAAACGTCACGCCCAATGTACCTGTCCACATCGCACCTCCTTCGTCTGGGCCCGTTTTCTCGAACGCGAACCGTGGTTTAAAGTTGACTATTGTCCCTAGAAGAGGGAATTTTAGGTCACGTGACTGGGAGAGCAGGGGCGCCGAGGGAGGAGCAGTACCTACAAGCAAAATGGCCGCGGCGTCGCTTAATGAGGGTTAATAGTTCTGCTTGGTTCTGCTGAACATTCATTTTGATCCGGCTGTTATATTAATGACGCACCATCAGCTTATTAGCACGTCAAGCAAAGCGGTAGTTTCAGAGGGACTACTAAACTACCGACGGCAGCATTCCGCGAACGTATCACGCTTCAGCAGTCCGGGATCCAAGACATATGGCGGTGCTTAAGCCTTGCAAGGGTTTTTATGGTGAGTAAAAAAATGTTTTGCGAACGAGTGTTGGTATATATTTATACTAACACGTTTAATTTGTTACACTATGCACGCCAACTCGTGAGCAGCGATTACTTTGCAGAGAGAAGGGGTTATCCTCGATAAGGTCTTCGTTCCCGGTGAACAGCTGGGACATTGTACTGTTTTTTTGTTCGCAGTGCGCCGACAGTATGCCGACAGCATCGAGGTTTCTACATATTCCCGGTGGCCAGCAATTCAACAGTGACGAGAAGCTTAGCTTCTCGTCACCGATGGATCGGTTGGGCAAACGGAAGAGGGGGAAAACAGTTGATATCAGCAGGAATCGCAGAAACGTGCGTCGCAAGAAACAAAAACGAGACTACAGCACCGGCGTTGCCAGACTGGAAGCTACACGGGAAAGATATGCGTTGCTTGTGGCGAAACATACTGAAGGAAATGTTCCTTACATTTTCGAATATTCGTCGACAAACTCTAGCGTAATAGCAAAACTTTCTTCGTGCCATCTGAAGCAAATAAAGTGGTCTTCAAGTGCAACATTTCCATATTTTGACTTAAAATACCATACTAGATCGATAAAAACCAGCGGAAAAAGAGGATAAACAAAATGACTGGCTTGTTTCACCGATAGATGACGCAGATCTTACTGCCCAATCAGAAATAATTAAGGTTGTTCTTTATCCAGCCATTTATTACAGCACCCTAGGTACTTTTTCCTTCCTAGGCACCGTGGTTTACCAAACTGGGTTTACCATCGCTTCGAGAAAATCGGCCCTGGTCGTATTCCGAGCTTCGTCGTTCGCTCGGATACTGGTAATGTTCGCCGTGATTCCTTGTCTCCTCTTCAACAAACACCGCACATTTTGTATATCGTATTAGTAGTGCGACTGCAGCTTTAATGGTATAACACTTACGAGCCACACACTGTCCGTTACCGTTTCCTCCTCTCATATTAAACCCTCTAGAAATTTCTACATTCAGATGCTGAAATAACACGTCGACATGTCTGCCTTTTTCTCACAGCCACCAAGGTGAACACGGAGTGCTCCAGTCGTCTGTACGTGTTTGACCGGAGTCCGGGCTACCGATTGGAAGGGGCGGGCGACAAGGAGGTGTTCGCCTCGAACCGTACCGACTGCGAGGACAAGTGCCTGGGCGAGATCGGCGTCGTGTGTCGCTCGGCCACCTTCGACAGGGCGGCGCAGCGCTGCCGGCTCAGCCCGGAGACCAAATACATGAACTCTCAGGCCTTCAAGCAGGACGCCAACTCGGAGTACGTCGAGAACCTCTGCTTGCCCAGTGAGTCGCCCCCTAGTCTTTTGCTTTTTTTCCAAGGACAACAATGATTAGTTTCATAAGAGAGTCGGTGACGTGCTTTCATCGAGAGCCAGTTATGTGGAGGAAAACTTAAAGAGAGGGGGAGAATACGAGAGCGCTGTGACGTCAGAGCTCTGATCCCTGATTAGAGGGTTTAGGGGGTAGGCGCAAATGCCGCCTGCCATCTTTCCTATCTAGTGTCTCCTTCCAATCGGGGCAAAGAGGAGCGTCGTCCGCTTCCCGAGCAGTGTCTCGGATTCAAACAGCGAGTATAGGGACAAAGGCGGCCGGCCTTCCCGTCTACTCAGTATCCTTCCAATCAGACCTCCGTATTTTGTGGTCCCCGCGTTTTCATTTCCCCGATTTCTCTCCGCGTAGCCAATAATATAGAAACTTTTAGCAGGAACCATCTTTCGAAGTGGTGCGTACGGCACGTGTGCTTTGATCGCTTTCTGGTCCCAGGACCACGCGCGTGCTGGGGTGTGGAGATTGCACGCAAGGTTGGGGATTTGTAAACATTTGAATAGTGTATAGTCAGCGGACTTCCTTGGTATTCACTGGCAGACAAGAACTGCAGGAAGGTCCTTTAATCGTCCCGACTCCAGCGCGAGTTTCGTATAGATTCGAGAATGTATTGGCGCGTCGTGAACCTCGCGAGCAGTACAACGCGTCAATGTACTTCTGGGCGATGACAAAGTTACTGTTCCTGTTTTCCACAATCGTGCTTCTCAGAGGAGGGCTTGTTTTCTTATAGAAGTGAAAGATTCTGAACCTGTAGGTTTCATAGGAGGTGGGAGGGCAATTGAAGCGTTTAGGCTTCCCAAGTGCGTGTAGGAGTTTGGCTATTTCAAAGTACCGACCTTTTATTCAAACAAAGCTTGTTTGGAAGATTTCATGTGGGGCAGGTATTACTAGTCACAAGGGTACCAATGCGAAATGCAGCTGCAGAAATATATTTTGTTTCCAGTGAGTTCTTATAAATTTAGGGCTTGTTTTTGCACGAACGTTTTTTTTTTCATATTGAATTTTGAAAAAGAAAACTGGAACATGGTAAAATTGAACTCCGAATTTACGGAGTATTTCAAATCTAACAAAATAAAACTTTGATACTTTAAACAAAGAAAGCAAAACGCAAACAGGGACGTGCCTTTCCTCTTTCCCTTGTTTGTGTTTTGCTTTTTTCGTATTAAGTATTCACCCTACACGCTCGTCTAGATCATTCACATTGATAAAGCCTGAATTTTCAGCGAAAAATAAACCCCGAAAGACACCCTCCGAATTTAACAAAAAGTGAGTTCCCAAAACACGGAACCTATAGTTATAGACCAAAGGGTTGTTTAGAAACAAGCCTTCGCAAGGTGCAGGCAAACGCGGCGTTTCTGCACGAGGTGTGGATACTGCGCATGCGTCCTGACAACAGCAGCGCCACCGCGGCGGATAGACGTCAGCGCCGCGTGTGGGGGGATTCTGTGTTCTCAAAGTTTATCTTATGTGAAATTTAGAGGGTGGTCTTGTAATTTTATTTTTCTCTGGAAATTCGGGAGTTTATCAAAGTTAATTTATGTTAGATTGCCAAATATCGTGAATTCAGAGTTTCGGTTTACTCTGTTCTTATTTTTTTTTTTTTCAGAATAAAAATAAATATTATCTGGACAAAAACGTACACTTCATTCGCACAAAAAATCACCGGTATTGAAAGATCTTTCTGCAACTGCATTGTACATTGGCGTACGTGCGATTGGCAGTGCTGAATGTCCCACGACAAATTTTGAAAGCGAGTGTTACTTCAATAAACGTTGGTACTTTAAAAATGTTCAAACTCCCTGGACGCATAAAACTTTCCGCTGCCTGCCCCATCTTATGAAACCTACAGGTTCACATTTTTCACTGCTATAAAAACACATCACATCTTCCCTCTAAGAAGCACAAGTAGTAACTGGAAACATAGCACAAGTTGAAACTTAAAACCGGAGCAGTAGTTTTTGTCGTGTTCCCGAAGTACTATCGGGGAAAAATGAAATGCGAACAGAGGAGCGCGTGGCTCGCGGTACAGGCTGCGCCGCCTGGAAGTGAGCCAGGAGCGAGGGTGCGTGGCGTTCTCCGACGTGTTCACGCCCCTCCCTCTGCGCTCCCCAAGCTTCAGCAGTGCGCCTCTTACTGCGCTGAAAGCTATCACCGCTATCTTTGCTGGCTCAGCGCGTGCGGTGCAAAGAAGCTCGCCGTACTCGCCGAGCAGGCAAAGATAGCGGTGACAGCTTGCAGCGCACTGAGAGGCGCACTGCCGAAGCTTTGGGAGCGCTGAGTGAGGGGCGTGAACACGTCGGAGTAGGCCACGCACCCTCGCCCCTATGCTCACTTCCAGGCGGCGCAGCCTGTACCGCGAGCCACGCGCTCCTCTGTTCGCATTTCATTTTTCCCCGATAGTACATTAGCCCATTGTACTGGACAACACTTGACAAGATAAACGGCAACTCCTCTTTGTCAATAGTCCTACATAAACAAAAGAAGTTAATCGTTTTTTTAGGATCACTTGTCCTATGCTCTGACAAACATTACTCGTAAAATGTGGTCTTTTATTCTTGCTTTTTATTTTGCTATTGTGACCTTAAAATTTTGCGATTATCGGATAAATCCGAATTCTCCAATAGTTTGCCGGCAATTGGGTTTTTGGAGTTTATTGGATTTATACGAAAACACGAAACCCTAGTTATATGCAACCATTTATTATAAATATTGTGCAGACTTTATCTGAAAAATTCTACGAAGCCTTTAGTCCACTTATGCAGATATTAGGAATTTCCCAGGGCTACCGATAGACGGCTTGAGTATGCCAGTTTTTTCTTTCGTCAAAGTCTAAGTCCGATTGGGGAATTCTAGGCACCAAACGAAAGAAGGGCATCTGGCACGAAGCAGCAGAGGACTGATGATTAACTTCCATTATCTGAGGATCTCTTGGTGTGCAACCAAACGCTCGGGCACCATGGCGCCTTCTCTGCAATAAGCCTCCGTCAAATTGCCGGCACCTCGGCCGAGATTCGAACCAGTCACCTGGGACCCGTAGCCAGGTGTTTTGCCTCGGAGCCACCGAGGCGGCTTGTTCTTTCGTTGTAAGTGGTCACAAGCCATCTGAACGTAATCAATCACAGTCAAACGCAATGATATGAACCAAACTTCAGAGAAGCAAAGGCTGAGTTCTTGTCTTCGGGGTGCTATTGTTTTAGCTGTCTCTGGCCACCAGGACGCTGTCTTCTGCAATGTCTTGACGTACACAATCTAGAGTTTTGGTCCTCCCGCAAAGCAGTTAGGATAGCCAATGTCTGTAACCCCCGAATGGAACTCGCCGAATGACGGTCCTGATAGTATGATTCAACCTAAAACAAAACCATCCGCGATGTCTCAGTGAGCATGACGTTCCATGGTCCTCGGTGCCACTGCGCAGACAGCTTTTTTGGGGGTCTCCATAAATTGAAGCGATTGGGTCTCCCGAGTGCATTGCGAGAGAGGCAGACGCTTTAGATTTTATAGAGCGCACTTCGCGCGCACAGTCGAAATTCACGCGACGCCCTGACATAACAGAGAGTAGACATCACCTGCGCTGGAGGCGTATGTACGGAAAGACGCTCTGCCGCTCTTAACCTCACAGTTATTTCGTGGCTTTCGAAGGGCGTTATTGTGATCAATTAGTACACAGTTTCTCGCATTCTACAGAATGATGACGTAACTGAAAGACGTCCTTCACTTTCGTTGCCTTCAATGGACACCGACAACTTCAGAATACGCTCTGCATTGTGAAGTCATCCTGCCGACAACGAGATATCGGAATTATCCGCGAGCAACACCGAAAAACAAATCACGAAGTTAGAAGCGTAAACATAATGAACCGCGCTTGGCGTTTTTATAGGTTTTCAATGGTGAGTTTTAGAATAGCGAACCAAAAGGCTTTGCGTGCGCGAAGGCATATATCGTCGTCACTGTTACGAAGAAGAGGTCGTTGATGATGATGATGTTCGGCCATTTGTAACAAGAGGCCTGATGGCGAACACGTTGAGAAGTGAAGTGAAGTCAGGTGGTATTAGACTTTAACTTAGATTTATTTAACATAGTACGTTGGTGGGCGCGACCAGACGTCGCCGCCCGGCACTTTCCGTCCTCCAAAATCCCGACAAGGAACGCGACAACCACCCAGCTCGATCCGCCTCAAAAAGCCCCGTCTCATCCCTGGCCCCTCCGTTTTAGAGTCAAAGTCAGGTTCCCTCTCCCAATCGTCCGAACCAAATGCTGTTTGCCACGCAATTTTCTTTCTGGTCGACGGTTGGTCCCAAAAGCACACAAGCAGAACAACAACATGCTGTCGTCTCAAGGGGTGTCCAAACAGGACACTACAAATGCTACAAAACTCACGACTCCGGCAAATCGTGCCGAGGTTTGCCGCGATCCCCTTCCGGCCGTCGGAGGGAAATTTCCCTCCGTCAATTCTTCCCGGGGGGAAACTTCCCTCCGTCAAATCTCCCCCTCGCTTCCTCCACGGCGGCCTTGCTCTGCTTATCATGTGGGTCCGGAGAGCCACTCACACGCTCAGGTGGCTGTCGGTCAATCGCTCAAGGCCTCCGCTTACAATACGGAACCGCGTCGGACGCCATCACGACGAAAGTGAATCTCGACAAAGAAAGCAGATCCGAGGCGGGCGAAACGCACCCTTTGATGCAGGAATGTCCCAAATCCACCCAAAGCCGGACCTCCTTGGCCTTGGAGCCGAGGCGACGGCGGTACGCGAGGGCGTTGGCGAGGTGAGCCAGACGCAGGTGGCGTGTGACGTCAATCTGACGAGGAGAGCAGTCGTGATCGTAAAAATTTTCACGACTCCTGCAAACATTTTCACGACTCCGACAGACCGTAAAAATAGAAGCGTCCGCTTCAATTTTCATGATTTGCCGGAGTCGTGAGTTTTTTAGTGTCCTGTTTGGACACCCCTTCAAACGGATAACCAAAATAAACACACAAAGACCCCACGTTTTCTTCGGCGGTCATTACAAGAAGGCGCCGTGAAGGTGGGCGCACCTACGAAACCGGCCCGCTCATACAAGGAAAGCAAAGCCGACATGTTCGGCACCGTTTACTACCCGAGAAGCCCCATCCGGCAGCCACTCGTGGGAATGCGTCCCATTGTCCCGGCTCCCCAATTAGGCAGGCGCCCGCTCGACGCACCCTTGAACGCGACACTCCCGCGACACTCGCCCATTCCTGGCCAAGCCGCCGTCTTCCCCCGCCGCCCGGGGTGATCCTTCCGACGCCGAGCTGCGCTTTGACCCAAACCGACCAAAAAAAGAATTAATAATATGCCTGTACCTAACTGTCACCATACGCGCCAATACACAACATAGCTTGGGCTCGTCGGCGCATGCGCAGTGACGATGGCGCTATTTCTTTGCGCACCGCAATCCTTTGGGCACGCTATTCGTTTACTCCTCAAAGACTTTAAAACCTTAATTTAATGACGCGTTGCGAGAAATATGTTCAACGGTGGCGTAGATAGGCGAACTTGTTCCTCGTATACAGGGTGTTTTACGAAAGGTGGACAAATTCGATATTGCGAAAACTACGCATCGCACCAAAAAAAAAGGCATGTGTCGTTTATGTCCTAGGCCAGAGACCTATTTAGGGAAATTATTAAAGTTCGGAATAATTATGTTTCTCATGAATTCCGCATAATTTTTTTTCTTTTTTCATATTGAGTTTAAGGGCATAGTTTCAATTAGAATCTTGCTGAGCATCATCGAAAAACACTAAATAAACAAATTAGAGAACGATAGAAAGCACGCGCACGATATTTTACGTCTTTCTGAAAAACCGCACCACTTCGACAGGTTTTTGAAGTTTCGGTTTGCAATCGGAACGCTTCTCGGCTCGGACGGCACCGCACCCCGTGAAGAAATAGCGTAATCAACATCTGCTTCGCTATCCTCGCACAACGCTGCAGAGGCTGGCTGCACCATTTCTCCACTGGGTGCGGTGCCGGCGGTGCGAGAAGCGCTCCGATTGCAAACCGAAACTTCAAAACCCGTTGAAGTTGTGCGGTTTCCCAGAAAGCTGTAAAATAAGTGCGCGTGCGTTCTATCGTTCTGCAATTTATTGATTTTGTGTTTTTGCATGATACTCATCAAGATTTTAATTGAAACCGTGCCCTTAAACTCAATAATAAAAAAAAACTTAATTCCTCAAAAAATAATGAACAATTCAATTATCCTGAACCTTAAGAATTTTCCTAAATATGCCCCTGGCCTAGGACCAAAATGACACGACCCTTTTATTTAGTGCGATTGGTAGTTTTCGCAATATCGAATTTGTCCACTTTCGTGAAACACCCTGTATAGCTCCTCCATACCCCGTCAGTCGCCAGCCGCGTATGGACCACAAAACAAGGGGAAGTAGCCAAGTGGGTCACTCGCTCGACGCAACGACCAGCAAACACGCGTCCAAAATGTAAAGGGAAAGGGAGCCCGCTGTAAAGAGAGTAGCGCAAACCGGAACGGAAGTGGGCATCTATATCGTCGCCACTGCCTGGTGTTCTATATTAAAATGGATCTCTATTCTTTTCTTTTCATTCATGTCAACAGTATGCGAGAACTGAACTAGCGCGGAATGTTTGAATTCGGACGGGTAATACAAAGGTCGCTATTGCATAAGCTTGTACTGTTTATGAGTGAATTTTGTGAGACTGGAGAGTTGGGATCGGGTCATGCTTGCTTTCTTAAACTAGCTACAGGGGTAAATCCTACAAGCCTGCTAGTTTACACGTATAAACTGAAAAAAAAAATCAATTGACCTTTTTAAGGAGAGATAGAGAGAATTCAAACAACTTATGACCTTTTCTGTTTCTTCTCCAATTTTTCCGGTAGCGAAAAAACATAAATTTCAATTGTGCAAATTCAGAAACGATGCGTCACTATAGTCTTGTTCTTCTTTGAACTATGCTTCTTTAGTGAAAGAAGCATGCTCGTTTGTATATGCTTCTTGATTATGCTTCTTTCTACAAAAAGCCTTAGAAATATTATATCGCACATGTTAAGAAGCTATTTTGTACCCTATCTCACAAGTATAGTACAGCTCTAACAAAGGCCCATGCGTATGCCTTCAATAATTGTATTAGTTACCAAGCACTCATGCAAGAAAAACATGCATTCTAATGCTTCGTACTCGCGCCCGTGTTTTACTATATTACAGAGCGTTACGCAATGTATTGAATAGATCATTCAAACAATCATAAAGGCAAAGTTAGTTAAGGGACCTTTATCGTCGGCGGCGAATCTGTTAGCTATCCTCCGCGCGTGTAGTGTGCTCGGGACCCAAGAACGCAGGTTGATTCGCCAATTGACCTTTTTCAGAGTTCGTTGAAGTGACCGTGGCGCACCCTCGTGGAGATAATTGAGAACGTTTGCGGGCTCAATCCGTCCTCCCGTCACCCCGTTCGCTTCCTCGACGCGATCGTTCTGGTGCGCTCGTCGTGGAAAGTTTTTCTCGCTGTTTTCCGGCTGACGTTCTCTACAAATGGCTGATGAGGATCCCGGAGGATCGAGTAAAGCAACCGTGTTCGACACTGCGGACTTTATCCGTCTGTATGCTTTTCAAGACGGATGGAGTGCCGATGCTGCATCGGTACCGGTCGTCAACACAGCGTGCGTCGATCGGTACTTCGCGAAGGACTGCAGACAACTCCGGAAAGGATGGGCCTTCAAAGAAGAAGCCTACGTAAAGAAAGTCATGGTGAACAACTTTGATCCCGACCACACCGTTCACCTTGTAAGGAGCACGTGTGCACCGTCTATGAAGCCGGGACATTGCAGGCAACTGATATCGCTTTCCAAGAGCGCCGATATCGTTCAAGCGTCTTGCGACTGCGTTGCAGTGGGAGTTTATTTCTTCGGTAAAACCCGTGGCGATGTAATAATGTGTCTTAAGGATTATAAAATGTGTTAATATTTGGAAGGCGTGAGTGGCGTGAGGCCCTATAGTCGCTCTCCTTTCTGCACCTTAGTATCGAGATCTGTGTGTGCCAGTCCTTTGATCATATTTTATGCGTGACGCGATAAGTTATCTAAAAAAAAAAAAAAAACAGAACAAACAACATTTGTCGTCTTCGTCTTTTTCGTGGTACTTCAGCATGCAACTAAAAAGGGCCAAGGTATGTCATCGATCTACTTATCGAACTAGATGACGTGTTGATATAAAATTCTGTAGTAGGACATTTGTTTATTCAATATTTTAATGAGCTTCAAGCGTAAATATAAATTTTGCTGGTTGAGCGGAACAAGCCAGCATATAGCTGGCCTGCTCTTTACACTATGCGACTGTGTAAAGATAATTTTTCGTGAAAACAGCTTGACGTCCCGCCTCTTCGCTGCCCTGCTGTACCGTGCAAGCAAAGTCGGTGCGGAGGCAGGTGTCGGCTTGTATTTGTAAACAAGGAGGAGCGAAGTCCGGGTGATTCTGGTCTCGTGAAGATACCCCTGCGTCGTAAAAATCAGGAAAAAAAATCTTGCTATGAATGACTAGCCTGCACAGAGTATGACGGGTATCTCCTGAGTTCTGACAGATATGAATGAACTAACCTCCAATGAAGTGGACGCTGCAAACACGCGAGTTCACATATGGCTGCCAAGGCGTCCCGTCGGAGTTCTGGCGTCGCAGCGCTTGAATCCATTTTTCTCTTTTCTTGAGGTGCGCGGTAGCTTTCGGGAATCTAAAGAAGCTCACGTTCGGCGTGTTTTTCTTGCTGTTTGTACATCCAACAGCCGAGCAGCGGTGAGGCATCGCGATAGTGCCGGACAGACGCGCCTAGCAATGCGAGCGAAGCCAGGCAGCGTCTGACGAGAGCCCGCAAAGGTGGCGCCTTTCCCTTTCCTACTCTCTCCTCAAGTTCGGGCATGCGCACAAAATTCTCTGAAAAAGGTCAACGGTACCTTTATGCTAGCCCTGTGAGTGGAGTATTAGGTGGAATATATTTTGCTTAAATGCGAGTTTCTAGGGGCTTTTTTTTTTAAATTACTAAGGCTGACGTCGTTTGACGTGCAGGTTCACAGTTGTGCACCACGACAGCCTTCATTCTGGAGGCCGGCAAGGAACTGGACGGGGCCTTCGAGCGTGAGGTCGTCTCCACGAGGGACCTCCAGGAGTGCTCCAACTACTGCACCAGAAGCCTTCCGGACAGGGGTTACTTCTGCCGGTCCTTCCTGTTCGACGACAAGGCCAGGACATGCACCCTCTACGACGAGGATCCCCTCGGCTACGGGGAGGGAACGGAAAGCCACAAGCCTCTCAAGACCAGTACCGGGGACCTGTACAGAGTCCTTTGCGGAAGCTCCGAGCGGGGTAGGCCAAGACTTGGGGTTACTGCTGCTACTTTCTAAGCTTGATGCCATTCATTTTCGGTACAACTTGGCATTAGGAGTGCATACTTGCTGTAGACAGGAAGCGCATTTTTGCTGGAGTATTGTTCGGTCACGGAGCTTCCAAACTCAGGTCCTCAACTTAACTTTGTCAATATTGCCTCAATTTTCTTTGCTGTTGAGAAACTCAAGGTTTTCAACTTATTTTTGCTCAACCTTTTCTGTTCTTGAAGAACTTGACATTCTGAACTCTCTTTGTCAATTATGCCAGTCATGTGAGTCTTGAACTCAAGGTTTTGGACTTCTTAATATATATATATATATATATTGTTAAATAAATTTACTTTTACTTTCTTCAGTTCTTAAGCTATATTCACCGTATGTCATACATCTTTTGGAAATATATAGTAAAACCAGAAATAACGTTGTTCTTTAAGAAACTATTAGTTTTTGTTGCCTTCAGATGTTTAGAGTTTCTACACTCAGCGTCACCTATTTCGAGCTACTGTGTTTAGGCCACCGTGTTCTACAGTAGCGTAGCTTCCGCAGTTTTCAAACTCGGTCAAAGCTAGATGTGCGTGGGTATGCGAATGACACGCAAGACAATGTCGCGTGCTCTCGCATCAGTGCGAGTCTGCTGCCCTGGGCCACCTAAACTAACCTTGACACTGTAGAACAAAGTAGCTGATGCCGAGTATATAACAAGAACTAAAAAAACACAGAACCACCTCTTTATTTTTCAGTCGTCCACGGTCTCTGTATACTCCGCTCCTGGGACGCCATTACGCATTGCAAAGAGCCTCACTTTCCTCAACAACTCCAGCAAGTGAGAGCCACGGTACTAACCAAACATCTCGTTAATTTTTAGGTCCTCAAACTGGTGTGACCTCAAACTGCGATCGACCTCCTTCTCTTTTTGTGACACAATGTTACTCTTGAACAGCCATTCGTGTTACCTAGCTCACTGAAGCATAGAAAGAAGCAGGAGAGTTGACATCGTGACATTGTTGCTCGTTGTAGACGCCATCATCAACAATGCCACCTTCGAGTGCTACCGACGGAAGCGGCTGGACGGGGCTCATCAGGCTGAGATCAAGGCCTACTCCTTCCAGGAGTGTCTGGACGAATGCATGCGCCGATACGGCAGGGATTGCCGCTCCGTTGAATACTCCTCCCGTTACCAGTCTTGCCGATTCAGCTCGTATGACGGCCAACCTAGGCCAAACCTCATCGATGACGATTTCTACGATTTCTACGAGTTCAAGTGGTGTAAGTATGACCGTCGGGCCCACCGGCTGGATGCTCACGATGACCGAAGGCACCACTTCAACTTTGGCTTCGGCAAGAAGCATGGCTTTGGCTTCAAGTTCAGGCGTCGTCTTCGCTTGCTGAGCAGGCACTGCCCAAAGGGATGCTTTATTGACCGCACCCTTCGGACTCAAACAAACCTACAGCGAGGAGTTGGCACAGTTGCTTGCTTTCAAACGCACCCGATGTCCCAGTAACCCCGGGCGCTTCTGCTGCGGTACACGTCTTTCAGGGGCTTCGGAACTGTCCTGTCGACCTGAGGGGGAGGTGTCCTTGTATGTATACCACAGCAACTGCCGCACTCCTTTCCTTCAGACGTACCAGCTTACATGCTTTCCGTGTTGCTCGCTATGATGTCAGAGGCTCTTGGCTTCGTGCGCTTGCTTTTTATTGCGCTGGTCTTGTGTTATTTTGTATAGATAGAATTCGCAATGCAACTGATAGCCCAGGCTCAAAAATGCAACCTAAAATACTCCACGTTGACAAAAAAGTAAGACACGATTTATAAGTATTTTTAGATCGTTTCCGCCGTAACGCTTTCCGCAACCTTCATGAGATTCAGAACTCTGCAGACAAACCTTGCACCGCATAAGGGCAATAGTGATGTCTTCGTTGTGGAGAGCGTAATAGAGAAGAAAAACGGTCAGACAACTCCCTATTTGTGTCTTGACTTCACTTAACGGTCAGTTCATTTGAATGCATCTTTTTTTTTTCGAAAGTTTGTTACGAATTGCCCTGTCACTTACCGCGGATGAAAGAATCGTGGCCTTCGTTAGCATATCATCGACGTCACTTTACACGTCCTTGCAATCCGCTTTTTATTTTTTTTTTCCTGGACAAATTGGAGCCGTAGGTTTTCTGTCTCTTCCAGATCGAAGTGCAGGACATACCGGAGGACACGGCATAGCTGGCGGTGGTGCCACTTCTGGCGGTGGTTACGCACCACATCCCCTGCCCCCAAGCACCGGCTACGGCAGTCCCGCTCACGGGGTCCACGGCGCCGGCGGCTATCACCACGGCTGGCACGGCATCCACGCCACTCACCGCGGCTACCCCGGTCCTGGCGTAATTCCCCACGGAGGCGGCATCGGTGGAGGTCCCGTGGTCAGTCACGTGGGAGGGCACGGAGGCCTTCCCGGAGGCGGCTTGGGCTCCGGCTACGACCCAGGCTACCCGCCGAGTCGCTGGCCAGCCGGTGGAGGCTACCCTCCTGGGCGCGGTTCCTCCGTCGCTTCACCTGGTGGCTACGCTGGCGGCACCGGCGGCTACGGCAGCGGGGGCTACGGGAGCGGAGGCTACGGAAGTGGTAGCTACGGGGGTTATGGTAGCTCCTGGAGTAGCGCTTCTGGCTACGCCGGCAGTTCGGCGACGGGAGGAGGCTTTTCGAGTGGCGGCTACGGCGGTGGAGGCTATGGAACTCCGTACGGCGGTGTCCCGAGCAGCGGAGGTGGAGTCCAGCAGCACTCTCACGGCGCCGGAGGTGGATTCCCGGCGCATCCTCCGCCACCTCCACCGCCTCACGTTCATCCACCTTTGCCACCAGTCACCGGTGGCGGCGCGCCACCGTTCGCGCCACCGTTGCCGCCCGGTCTGGCTGAGAAGTGCAAGTTCTCGTCGGCCGTGTTCAGACGGGTCGGTTATGGTACCCGGCTCAAAAGTTTCTATGTCCGGCGAGTGGTGAGGACGGAACGACTTGAAGAGTGCGAGCAGGCCTGCTCTGAAGCTAGAGACATTCACTGCAAGTCCTTTAACTTCAGGTACGAGTGCCCTTTTCATATGTCTTGTCCTATATGTTCTGACTGACGACCTATCTTGCACGATATTTGTAATATTTTCCCGATGTTTGTTTTTTTTCTTTTTTCCTTTTTTTTAGGAGGAAGGTTTGTTTATTTACATGCACAAAGAGGTCAACCTGCATTTATAGCTGATTTGCTACTTCGCGAAAAAAAGGAGAGGAGTAGGTTTGGGACTAGATAGAACAAAAGGAAGAGAAAAGAGAAGAGATATTTTTAAACAAAACAAAAGCAAAATACACACTATTTGCACGAAAGTTCAGAGCATTTTAAATGAGCTAGTATTAGAAAGACACATATTCAGTCATCTTGTGGCCGCATGTCCCTCTTGATATATATATATATATATATATATATATATATATATATATATATATATATATATATATATATATATATATGTATATATATATATATACAGTGTACGGCTCTAAAAAAATGTCAGCACACACGAGAAATAGCAAAGTCAAGTTCATTTCACAGCTCGTCCTGTAAACCAGTGTCTCGCATGAATCGTAGAAGAGCGCTGATGGACTTGTTTGGATTATCGGCTGAGTAATTTCAATCACTTTTATATTCAGACTTGCATTAGTGTTTTTAGTTGTGTTACGTATTGTATGCAACTGCATAAAATATGTTTAATGTCATGAAGTACTGAAAATCTTGGGCATATAGGTGAGTCAATTCGACCGATAATATGAAAATATTTCCACGTGTATGCTACATTGAGGCGCAGCCGGTGAATCGCAGTTTCTTTTCCTCTATTAAAGTTTCTCGGACTTCGAAATATCATCCCTTGGTCAATATGCTTTAAGTATGTGTAATAATAACATGGATCTCTCCATAACGCTGATGAAATATCTTTCACAATATTTCGGATTATGTAGCTAGCATCTTTTCTTGATAAAAGAATTTCATGGCCGACCTCATTTGCTTGAGCCTCCCCAGATGCCCTATCTGCATAGATGTTTCCGGGTATACCGCTATGACCAGGAATCCACTTCAAGACAATGTTGTGTCCCTGAGACATGACGTGGCAACGTTTTAGAATATCATGGCTCAATTGATAGTTCGGGCTATTCTTTCTTAGTATGCAACAAAGAGTTTAGAGCAGATTTAGAGTCTACAATTATTGTCCAGTCTTGGGGATTTTGAGTATTAATGTAGTTAGCAGCTACACGGATTGCCGTAAGCTCAGTTGCTATCAAATATGTAACATGACTAAGTTTGATTTTGATAACATTGCTAGTTGATGGAATGTGGACGCCAACAGATGTTGATGTAGAAGTTGTTGACCCGTTCGTAAAAATATGTTTTGAACCGGGTTTGCCGCTCGACGGCGATCGTTCCGCCGGTTCAGTGGCATTGGTTTTGCCCTCCAAAAAGCTTCACTGCTTCGCTCCTACTTGACTCTTGGCGAATTCGCGTGGTTCTTTCTGCGCGCTCTCGAGCGCTCTTTCCAGAGCGCGCGAAATCGTTTTGTTGAAAGAGAGCGCTGTGGCCTGATCGGGTGGTTCATTCCGAGTGCGCCTCTCCCTCTCAGAGCGCTCTCTGGCACTCCGTCTGTAGCCGTCGGAGTGCGGAGCAGCGCAGGCGTCACGTGGTAGCTGGACGGTGATCACGTGGTTTTGTTGACGATGGCCGGCAGTGGTCTGTGGTGGTGTGCGGGGTCCGGCATGACAGTCATTGATGTGTGGTTCTACAAAGTGCTTCTGCATTCGACGGTGCGAGGATTACAACGGACAGGACGACATTCGTTCGCGACGGTAACAAGCAAAGCCGACGTGTGAAGTGTTACCAGTGCTTTCACAAGATCGTTCATCTCACGGCGGTGAATCCGCTAAGCGTAACCGACGACGAAACAGCTCGCCGAGCTCGCCGCTGTTTTACCGAATTTTGTAGTCGCTTCAAGAAATTTTTGAGGTTTGGTAAAAGTGCGTTCAAAGGTTTGTGTTGTAAAATAAAGGGAGAGCCGAATATAATGCACTGTGATTTGTGTCACATTGCGATGCTTGCACGATATTTCGCCGTGAGAAAAATGCGGTTTATTAACCATTTTATATTCGCCTGCTCAGTCAAACGCCTAACCGCTGTCGCAGCGCGTTCACTGTCGAAAACGCGATGAGTTGTCATCTGTTTCCAAGCGTCGGCTTTCCTTCCGTTCTGCAAAAATCAGTTCGCATACTGCTTGTTTTTTTTGTTTTTTTTTTTTTTACATTCAGATGAGTAAAATAATTTAGGTCAAAACCGTTATTTCATCATGTTGCGAGCGTAAATTTTACACAATCGTCCACCGTACGCTGTACGATTGTGTTGTTTTAATGCATTACCAATGTCAAGAAATTTTAATTCCGTGACTGGTCTGAAAATCTCGGAGCGCTCTGAAGCCAGCAGTTGTGATCGGCTGAAAAGGATCCCGAGTAGCTCTGGCGGCGACGAGGGGGCGCTCTGCTGAATCGAGGTCAGAGGAGAGAGGCGACCACCCGAATTCACCATCTGAGAACGTCTTCCTCGCAGTCTGTGCGTGCTCGGTAGTTGAATGATTCTGAGCGAGCTGTCTTCGGTCGTGACAGTGCACTGTCACGACCGCTGATGTGCGTTGTAAATAGCGTATCTAGCTTTAGGACTAATGAAACAAAAAATGTTTGGCATTCTACGAGGCTTTCTGAATTTGCTTATATCTTCCCCAGAAACACGAGCATCCGTCAGTGGACTACACACAAATTAAGATCTGAGCTGCATGTGGTATTAACTCTGGGAGCATATCTTTTGCGCAACGCGCGAAAGGAGTGCAGCTGCTGTCGTACTCACCATCAATTACAGCCTTCCTTCGCCGCGGGTGACAAGGAAGCAATCTCTCACCGACGGCGACCGCATTCGTTTTAATTTTTGATAAATGTAAGCGAGGAGAAAGCTGGTTCGCGGCTGCTTTGTGTGGGAGCAGACAGATGGATGCTGAGAATCGGTGGGGGAGGTTGATTTACAGAATTTCGTAATAATTTCCGCGCGTGCCTTTGTTTTCTACTAGGAGATAGAAGACGAATTGCTTGAAAACTATCTTCAGAAGGGATATTGGCACTAAAAAAGCCACTACATTTGCAACATTATCCACTGACGTGGTTGTACACGAAGACGAGTTTGCGCACTTAAATGGTCAGTTTAAAAGACTGATGAGCAGTCAAGGGAGTTAGAGTGATTAGAGTAAACGTGTCACGTGTGTTCGTCGTATTTGTAGGTGATCTGTGTTGAATGGCATTGTAACAATTGCGTGCTGAAAATGATTGAGTGCAAGATGTGTATCTAGTTGCAGATGTGGAAGGGTTGAAAGAAACTATATAATCTGTTTCTCTTTTTTCTATTTTTAATTGGACGGTGACTAGCAGCACCTGGATTGCTCATTATCAGTTTTAATTTTTGTTGCGATTGCCATCTGGTGGTAAGGGGTATAACCACACTTGCCTCTTCTTTTTTTTTTTACCGGAAATCACGTGACTCGTTGCGTTTCCGGTCTTCTGTCGGTAGTTAATGAGTTAATGAGTTAAGGTAGTGAAATACAAGGGTTCTACTCTAAGGCTTATAATACTTACTAGCTTCTTGACCTAGTAACCCCTACTATCGTGACCGTTACTACCTACAGTTACTACGCACCTAAAAACATAGGTGAAAGCAGTTACTAGCTTTTAGCTAGTAAATACTACTAGCTTTTTTTAAGAGTGTAGGGTTCTATTTTTATTATTATTAACTCAACCATGAGACACTATCCAGAAGAGTACGGGGCATATTTTTTTCATTGTAACGTACCTAGTAATATATGGGACGAGCAGTTACTACCTTTACCTAGTAAGTACTACCAGCTTTTATTTAAGAGTGTAGTGTTCTATTTTCCTTTTTTTTTATTAACGCAAACATGAGGCACTACCTACAAACATACGGAGCAAATGATTTTGTCGTGACTGCGTGAATAATATGCCCCTCATTTACTAACACATATAAGTTGTTTTCCACGAATAAATAAGCGATATATATAAATACGTGATCAACTATATACAATAAATTCTATATACTAACTAATACTATATACTAACTAATACTAATACGTGATGAACTATATAATATAAACTATATACTATAAAACTATAAATTCGCGCAAATCTGTGTGCGCCACTTTGCGCGGCGAGAAGCTGCAGCCTCTCAATACACCAACTCATGTTTACAAACAAACCGGAGCGCCCCTAGCGGACGCCACCGGCGCCGCGCATGCGCGACGGGGGTGTGGGCAAGAAGCTCGCCGTCGCCCATAAACAAACCATTGAAATGCGATGTTGTCGGCGTCGTTGTGAGTCCCCGCGCTCTTTTTCGCGTTGAAATTGTTGATTCTACGTCTTCCTAACGATGTCTGACTACTTGAGCGGCGTCAGCGAAATTAACGAGGCTCGTTACACCGCAAAACTTCGCGTGAATAATCTGACATGCGGCGATTCATTCCGCGTGGACGCCGCAGAATGTACGCTAAAGCCTGATTCACATGATGAGATTTCGCTCACAATTTTCAATAGCGACGTCGTTCGGACTGCAAAAGCGTGAACCTTAGCTGAGATGGTCAACGTCGATACTAAAAATCGCAAGCAGAATCTAACTAAGTGAATCAGGCATAACAAGTCGGTGATGACCACTGGTAACAATGATCAACATCTCCTTGTATCTACTGTTTACGTCGAGCCGGCTTACCAAGCTTCAAACTTACGTCTTTTGAGGCCTGCACTTACTTCTTATCGCAAGTACTGGCCCCGCGTTTGGTCTACGGGCCGGTGTCCTCTAAAAGAGCAGGCGACAAGCAGAAACGTTTGAAGGAGCAGACGACAGTTCGAACGATCAGGCGACCGTTTGAACTTGAAGACGCACTGAACGCAGTCCGCAGGTGGTCGTACAACTTGACGGTTTTCCGGCATTCATTTTGGAACAAAACAAATAAATCTGATGGCCAGAAGTATCCGTGAATTCAACCCCAAATGCTTACCGCCCAAGCAATCGTAGTCCGACGGCGTCTGGTTTTCCCTTTTCACGGCACATATCCACGTTCTCAGACGAACCGAGCACATGAAAGCTGACCTTCAAACCTTTCTCGACCCTTTTGGTACAGTCCCAGTCGCAGCATTTTGACAAGAAGGCAGGTTTTTGTCTGGTTCCTTTCAAAACAACGCCGGAATACACGTCTCACATGGGCACTTCCGCCCACAGCCTCGGACCGGAAGTGCGCCCGACGCGCCAATACCGCGCCGTGACGTAACAGATGAGTTCGTGTATTGGGACATTGTTTCTGAGGCTGTCTTTTTTTTTGTACTTTATCATTCGTTGGTATAGCCTTTCCCTTGCGTTTTTATTTGGAGCTCGGGTATTAAACTTGAGCTCTAAAACTGTGCAACGCACGCACGCGCGTCGTTGTATACGTCCAATTGACGAGTATGGCCATCCACCAGGGGGAAGTTATTGGCAATGTGGAGTGCAAGTTTATCTACTTCTTGCACAGGGGCTGCGATGATGCCAGAAAGCCGAGCTTTTATTGACTGATTGAAAGTAAAAAAACAATGGTGGGGAGACCTCGAGGCACCTGGCATTAAAGTCTATCTACTATCCTTTCAATCAAAGCCAATCAGAGCTCGGCGTCGTTCTGACGTCACCGCCAGTGCTGCGCATGCGCAAGAAGCAGACAACTCGCAATCAGCATAGTCAGTGACGGCGTGAAAAAAAAAAAACGCAGAGCGTGAACGAATTCCGAGCATCTTATTATTGCTCAGCAGCCAATGAAATTGACACATTCGCCGATCAGAAAGCCGTAGAACCAATCATGAAGAGAGAAGCCTCGAACATAAAAGCCCTGCTTCTCTTGAGCCTTTCGTGACCATAGAGGCTTCGCACCTGCCTAGCCAACTAAAATTCCTCAAAAATAAAATTTAATTCCAAGGTGGATTTTTAAACAAATTTTATTTTTTTATGGTTTGTCGGAGGCTAAAGCCGTATAGTCACATTTGGTTCATATATATGTTTGCATCGAACATGTATGCTGACAGTTGTGACGTCATGTTCATGGAAGAAACACGCATCAGACAGTGTCTGCAGAATGCCTTCTATACGATGTATTAGCCACGTGACCACGGATTTGTTTTGTTTGTTGTTTTTTCCCCAAGGAACGCTTTTTAAGGTGAATTGTCGTATAGTTCCGCTCATTCTAATACGAATTTTAAAAAAAAAAAATGTTGAGAGTAAGTTAAAGTTGTTCCTCCCGGTGGTGTGGGAGGCAGGTTCCGCTCCGATGGTCTGGAGCGTGGTGGCACGAACGTCGCTGAGTGACGGGTCGACTCACTGCTTGTAGATAACTATGTGCATTTATTTACACTCTAGTTACAAGTCCCAACTTGGGAAACCATCCTGCCTCGTCTCAGGTCTCGACCCCCGTCCCCAATTTCTCTCCGTCAAATCCAAAGTCCGAATCCCTCAAAATCCTCTCCGCGCTCCTTTTGTAGGCACGTAGAGGCCTCCTTTCCCCTCAGGAACCGACCAATCTCTTCAAATTCCGCCACTCACACGTGGTACACTGTTCTCCAATGGTCGGCGAGCTGTCATCCTGGCGCCACAACCGACAAACCTAAACTCCTTGTAGAGTTGTTCTCTGCTATTTTCCCAGCCTGACTGGCGCCAACCGCTAAATTATTGCATCGGGCAAAAAGGACAATTTTACACTAAGCGGCAAAACCTTCTGCATACACGCACATTCGGTTATAAGCCACAAGCATCTTCCAGCGCGGGCTCTTTCGGTCCCGGTCTGAGCAGACCCCCGAAACCCGAGACGCTTCTTAACGACCGGCGGGGGGACCGCTCCCGCGTCGCGGCCGCTCTGGCCCCGCCGACCCAAACGTAGAAAGCTAAAAAAACACAATGCCGACGCAACTCTGGAAAGATAAACTTTCCTAACCAAAAGAAAACACCTTAATTAATAAGCATGACTCCTAAATACTTAACTGAGTATTTATGTTTTCTTATTGCAGAGCGTTTTTCCCGGACAACTGCGAGCTCAGCGACTACGACTCCCGACAACTGCAGCTGAGCAACCCGTCTCACTTCGACCAGAGCACGCAGTTCGATTATTACGAACGGGACGACTTGGGACATGGGCCGGGGGGAGCCGGAGGGGGAGACTGCCTGGACGGTAAGCTTCAATCACTGTCACTAACATCTTCGAAGCGTGCACACATCTTGTTTTCTGATTCGTTCATCGACTGTCTTGTCGGCCGATGTCGCATTCTCATTGGCTGCAAAACAAAGCCATAATCTTTGGTCATGGTTAGCCTTTTTTTTTCTTATTAATATTAAATCATTGAACAATTGTAACATAATGAAACTTGCAGAGGATGCTAATGTAACACTACTTGAATAATGAGCACCCAGATTCACGTATTTTGCGCATGCGCATGAGTTTCGGCTATCTCGGGGGCGAGCGACATATGTCTGCACTGCGGAGTAGCGGTGAATAATCATTTCTTATTTTCTTTTTAAGACAGAGAAAATTAAGCTTTCAGGTAAAAGTTTTAGAAGGTTGCAAGCACAGTATAGAAAGAAAACGATGTCACAGACGAAAGTATACGAATGGTGTCAGCAGTTTGGCGACAGACAAATGACCAGCTCGGGCCCGTTCCTCCGGTTGCAGCCGCGCAGCCCGTGTTCTATCTACGCCAAAGGAATCCGGGAACTACCGAAACTATGACATCGCTGCCCTCGTTTTGGCAGCTTTAAAAAAAAAAACTGACATAGTTTCGTGCATGTCGAATCTCTGGTCCAGTTCTTTTGTATGCATAGAAGTCACCGTCAATCTTGAAAAAAACATTTGTAAGAAGCATAGAGCTCGTCCCACCTCGTGTTTCTTAAGTTGTCCGAGTCTCTAGGTAACTTTAATCGTCAAGTGAATGAGTTTAATGGTTAGCAACTGCCCTCAGCTGTTGTTACTCTGATCTGCATACGAGTTCAGGAGCAAGTTAAAGTTCTAGCTGCAAGTATACCGCTTTCTTGACATTACAGTGAGTCAGACCTGCACACCAGACGGAATGGAGTTCACCCTGAGAACGGTGGACGGTTTCTATGGACGCATCTATACCTACGGATTTTACGACTCTTGTTTTTACGATGGAAACGGTGGCAGCGTGAACGTCCTCCGAATAAGCAGGGGCAACGGTTTCCCACGCTGTGGCACTCAAACGGTGAGTTTCTTAAACATATAAAAATATGATTATTTATCAGAAAGGTCAACTAAGAATGAGCATATTTGTTCAAGCTTGCTAATCTCTGCAGTATATCTCCGACCATATAACAACTTCAGTTGCTATAAAAAGACTTAATGATGAAACTCGCACAGACCTGAATAAGGTCAGGACATAGCCATGCAGGCTTGGATCTTTCTCCCGCTTCACAATTAATTTAAGCGTGCCATGACTGTTTAAACGCGCCTATATTCGGAGATAAATTTCCATGGCTATGCAGTCAAATGTACGGGAGAGGGTGTTTGAGCGCCGATTAAAGCTGAGCACGCGCACTCTTACTCTCTTAAGATATGCACAAGAAAGTTGTCCCCGAACACAGTTAACTAGTTTTAACCAGATGCTAATAGCGTGGCAGAAGGTATTGGCTACAGCGAGCCCAAAACGAGAGCATATATTTCTTTGTCATCGAGTGCTGATTTGTTTTCCGCATTTACAGTACGGCGACGTGATGACCAACATCGTCGTGGTACAGTTCAACGACTATGTGCAGACGAGTAGGGACAAGAAATACAACTTGACGTGCTACTTCTCTGGTCCGGGCGAAGCTGTGGTCACGTCAAACTACCTGGATACCAGGACTGACGGGCAAGTGCTGATCTTTATGCTTCGATTGAACCTTCTTCCTGACACTGGAATGGAAGGGGGGGAGAGGGGGAGAGGAGGGGAGGATTGGTGACCAAGTGTTTTAACGCGCCACAGCTTGGAGCACATGCAGCGAAAGCTCACGCTGCAGAATCTAGGGATCGTGCGCTCAATCCCCATCCCTCCACGTTTTGATTTCGATGAGCATCGTACCAGTATGCTTCCGTGTGGTCCCTCCTGCGTGGAGCAAGTTAAAGACTCCAGGCTAGCAAAGGCCTGGAGTCTTTAACTTCTAAATTTTTACTCTTCAGTAGAGACAGCAAAAGCCCAATGGGGGTGACTAATTTCCAGCTGTCTAAACATGAACACAACAAAGTTATTGTTAACACTGTCGCAACAAATGCCTTCTTTCTTTTTTGTCGCAGGCGATATCCTACTCAGATCGAGCATCTTCCTGCCCAGAACATCTTGACCTCCAACGTCCAGTTGAGAATTCTCTACAGAGGGACACCCACGACCACGATCGCTGTGGGGGACCTCCTCACATTTCGGTTAGAGGCAAGAGGAAAATGTAAGATTATCTGCTTAAATACCGAAAGGCTACATTGTGCACTGATTTGTCATTTTTAATGTCCCCAGATCAGTTCGACTTCTACAGTGACATCTTCGCTACCAATGTCATCGCCAAGGACCCCTATTCAGGGAGACAGGTGCATCTCATCGATTCCAGAGGGTACGTTTGTCCGTTGTTCAATTCACAGCCATTCCATCCAAAACAAAAAAAAAACGAGAAAAAAAGCGCAAGTTTGTTTTACACATCAAGTCGCAAGAGTAAAATATCACAAACTTTTAGACAACATTTAAAAAAAAAAATATTAGGAGCATGTAACTTTCATTTAAAGGGGCGATGCAACGACTTTTGTATTTTGCGCAAATACCGCTTAGAACGGATCCCTGACGTTAATGACCTTTAAAATACCCGTTCGTTTTTCACCACACGCAATCGAAGTCGCAAAAAAATAAAGAAAAACGAGCAGCGTTCACCCCCTCAACTCGCAGCCAAAACCAGCGGCCACGTGATCTGGAGCCGATTATATGCCACAATGTTGATCATAGCCATGCGCTGGGGTTGGCAAGGCACGGGACACGCGCTGAGTTCTAGACATTGTAATGGTTCGGCTGTTGTCGTCATTGCAGCGATTGGACACAGGACATTACCCGAATGCTTCTCGAGCTAGTAATTATCACGAGCCCAAATCGAGTGTCCACGCCATGCTCTGGTCCAATCTATGAGCCGCATTCAAATATCGTCACTGGGCGCTACTGCTACCGCCCAGCTACGTCATCAAGTTTTGCGAAGGAGAGACTGAATGAAAACACTCGGTTTTGTCCTCGAAATTACAGCGCAACAAAGGAGTTTCTTGGTCAGTGGCATTTCGTGCGAGTATCCTTGAGTTCCACTAGCGCCAGTAAGCTCGTGTAAAGTGAAAAACATTCCAATTGAATATCGTTGCACCGCCCCTTTAACTTCCGCAGCATGTAACTTCCATTTAACTTCCTGCAACTTCCACTTAAAGGGCAACTCCGCCTCAATTTTGTTTTTGAAAAACACATTGCAATCCTCTTCAGTATCACAGAGGAAGATCACACGTTAAATATTACGAGCTTGTTCTGTCTAAATGTTTCTTAAACGTTCCGGCAAACTTTGCAGAGCGCGAAGTTGCCGAAATCGGCTGACTCTAGCCGGCGAATTGAGGCGCAACCAACAGCACAGTCAAGGCTACGGTGTTGGTGTAGCCAACATTGAGTTAAATGTCGTCATCATTGCACCTTTTTGTTCGTTTTTACTTGTCGGGACGAGCGTAACGGGTGACGATTTCCTCTCGGCGCCCAGCGGTGTACACGTGAGTGGCGTAACGCGCCTGCGCAACACGTTTTTTGGAGCCGTCCGGCCTTCCCATCGGTACCGCCGTCGTTGTCATTTGGCATTAATGTCTGTTTGAGCTTCACTCAGATTACGTTCGTAGACTGATGCCACAGTTGTGCAGACGTTGTTCAATGACGTCAACACCAAAGCATTGTGAAGAATGCAGTGCAGACGACACCTGCGCCTGGCACACGCCCGCCCAAACGGTTGCCCGCCGGCCCGCCTCGGTCTGGCCCGTCGTTGCGTTGAGGATCACGTGACATCTCGAACCACGTGATAGCCATGCTTTTGGTGGCCTGAGGTTCATGTTGCAAGACGGAGCCGAAGTTTCGTTTTCTGCTTATGTTTAAAGTAAGATTGAACGATATATATTCCATTCTTCGTGAGGCAAAGGACGTAGTGCATTTAATTAGTGCTTTTTAATGTGAAATCACTCATTTTCCCGGACTTTTCGAAACGGAGCGGAGTTGCCCTTTAACAAAACAGCATTAAAGAGCTCAGTTGAGTTAAACCATATGTGGCACGATTTTTTTTTACTCCCTTAGAAGCGGATGTATTGACTTACACTGCAGGAAAACAAGACCATTCCCCGCGTCACACCACTGACGTGCTTCTCTGTAATCGCTCTTTTTACTGCGTTTGCATTATAACGCTCGTTTTGACGAAAACCCGACGGTGTCTTGTGTGGATGCGTCGTCTGCTCTAGGCAGACGTTGAGAAGCATGGATCACCACGACGGACGCCTGTCTCCGGGTAAACAACACTATTTATGTTAAATATTTGTTGCTTATAATCATACCTCGGCAAACCTCACTCTTGAGGGCCCTCACTCACCCTCACTCATCCTCATCTTCACAGGTGAGGTGAGGGTGAGTGAGTTTCTGAACCAAGAAATGTCATTAGTCTGATGGTGAGTGAGGACCGTGAAGTCGGGAGGGGTGTGAGGGCTGGAAGGGCTGTGAGAACCGTGAGGGCGATGAGAGCGGCGAGTGCGTGAGGGGCGTGAGGTGCGGGAGGGGCGGGAGGGCCATGCGTGCGTGAGGGGCTTGAGGGCGGTGAGTGCGTGAGGGGCGTGAGGGCCATGAGTGCGTGAGGGGCGTGAGGGTGGTGAGTGCGTGAGGGGCGTGAGGGGCGTGAGGAGCGTGACGGCCATGAGTGCGTGAGGGCCGTGTGGGCGGTGAGTGCGTGAGGGGCGTGAGCGCCATGAGTGTGTGAGGGGCGCGAGGGCCATGAGTGCGTGAGGGGCGTCAAGGCGTTGAGTGCGTGAGGAGCAAGAGGGCCATGAGTGTGTGAGGGCCGTGAGGGCGGTGAGTGCGTGAGGGCCATGGGTGCGTGAGGGACGTGAGGGCCATGAGTGCATGAGGGACATGCGGGCGGTGAGTGCGGGGGCGTGAGTGCGTGAGGGTAAGTGAAGAGCTGAAGGGGAGTGTGACTGCATGAATGAGGGTGAGTGAGGGGCTGAGGGTTAGTGTAACTGTGAGGGTGAGTGTAGCTGTGTGGGTGAGGGAGAGTGAAGGCCTTCGGTGAGTGTAGCTGTGAGGGAGAGTGAGGGCGACCTAAAATGCCGACCTCTGCTTATAATACAGATGTATCGGTTCACCAGTGCGTAAATTCAATAAAACAATGAATTCCAACCCGGATAACATGATACTGGTAGTGTGGGCTGTGAAAGCACAGGCTCTATGCTTTTTGTTGTTGTAACTTTTAGCTTTTGTAGCAATATAAACATTTAGCATGAAGTGTAGTTCTGAGCTGTACGTGTGCCATGGTGTAGGTACGTTTTTAGGAGTCGGAACACTCTACTACGTTGCGATGAAGAGAGAGTGCCTCTTTTAGTTGCGAACCGGAAGCTGTTTGTTGGCAGGACAACTGAAACAAGTGAAACAAACTATTCTAATATATTCGCCGCGAGGGGAACAAACAAGTGTAACCGAGCAAGGCAGTAGCGTGCGTGTTATTAGAGGTTTTTCTCGGTAGTGTGTTGTCACCCACTTCAATTTCCTCGGTGGGGGCCGCGGATGTAAAGAGGCTGATATTATAAATTGCTGGCTGAATGGTTTTCTATTCAAACATAGTAGACTCTGCAAATCCAACAAACGACCCGCACCACGACACCAACAGCATCGGCCACAGCGACACTCTTCTGCTGATGGCGGCTAGCGGCTCTCACGAGACTTTCCTATCTCCATCCGCCTCTAACGCATATCGGGACTGGGGAGTTCATCATTTATCCTTCAAAGTATTCGAGTGATGCTTTAATTGCGATATTTATGTCTGCTGCTAAATCGGAATCTTGTGGGGGAGAAAGTCAGGAAAAAGTAAAAAATGCCTGCTTTAATATTTCTGACGTATATATTACTTCTAGGACACAGGCTTGCACGTTAAGCCTATTCAGCATGCTTGTGATTCTCATCGAGGGTGATTATGCTGTTTAAATAGTAACTTAAAAATTACTTCACTTTAAAAGACTTCCCGTGTTCAAATTTCTGTAGGCGTCACAACGTGATAAAAATGAGAATGCAGTATGCCATTTATGACATAGTAAAAATAGTAAAAAAGGTAAAATTTTAACGTCTTTCATGCAATATGACCGGTGAAAAATCAACCAACAGATTTATCAATTGATTAGTCTATTAAAGGGTAGCGATCAGTCGGGTTAATTTTTTAATCAAACCACAGCTACAATCAACATTCAACGTGTTATGAAAGCTATGGTTTGCTGATAATGCAATTAATGCAAAGGTGCAAGCGAGCTGGGCAAGAATGATGATTATAATCCCTGGAGAAAGGGAACAAGGGGGACAAAGGACAAACACAAATCACCAAACACAGCTATTTGACTGGTGTGCGACCGAAAAAATCCGCCTGGTCCTCGCATCGAACCAAACGGAGAAATTGAGAGGTCCCTGGTTCGATACCAGGATCAGGCGGATTTTTCGATCCCGCACAAGTCACCTAGCTGTGTTTCGAGAATTGTGTTTGTTCTTTGTCCCTCTTGCTCCCCTTCTCAAGCGGTTATTATCATCACAATGGTTTCCGCGAGATAACAAACATTTTGGTACCAGCGGTTGTGTACAAACCAGAATACTAAGATTATGGAAGCATCCGACTTAATAATGATCACTTTGCTGAATTTCCACGCATGGTGGAATGATATGCATCAAACCTTTAGCAGGAAGAAATGACAACAAAAACAACAAGCGAGGGCTTAACTCAGCTGGAAACGGGGCTTGCGTCGTTGAGATCCATGCTTCTGAACGTGCGTGCGTAGCAGACGATGCACGGCGGTATCCCCGCTTTCGCATGCTCCCTATTTCGGCCGCACCTTGGCGACACGGTTCGATCTCGAGGCAACTAATGCTTGTTTTGACGAAAACCCAGCGGTGTCTTTCGTTTGTCAGCTACAGGGAGAGAAGGAGGAGGGGGAGAGGAGGAGAGGGGGAGAGGGTGATGCGTACGACGCTCCCATAGATCCGAAACGCTGAGGTCAGCACGAGTCAACCTGCCCTCCGCCTTCTCCCTCCCTCCCCATTGCTGACAAACTGAAAGACACCGCCGGGTTTTCGTCAAAACGAGCCTTTTCGTTTTCATCAAAGTAACGCGCAAAGCAGGCGCGGAGCCGCGAAACACTCCCTAGATAACAAGGCCATAGTGTTGAATGAGATTGCGTCATCAGAGAAGGCAAACGCTGGACACAGATTGGAAACGAATGCCGCGTCAGCGCTCGGCTTCGAGTCAAGTTCGAACTTTGAGCCGAACGTTGACGTAATCGTCGTGTCCGATCTTGGGCCAGCGTTGGCCTTCTCTGATGACGCCATCTCATTCAGCACTACGGCTTTGTTACCTAGGGCGTGTTGCGCTGCGGCGCGGTGGAATGCGGACGCAGTGGTGTCACTAGGGTCAGCGGCATCCGGGGCGGTAGCCCGACCACGACCCCCTCCCCCCCCCTCCCCCTTTCACTGCCTCACTGCACTCCTCTGGGTGCTGCACCCAAGATTCCCCCCCCCCCCCCCTCCTCGCACTTGTGACGCCACTGTGCCTGTGTGCAGAGTTGCCGCATGGCTGTCGCCGGTTGTTCTTCGCTCTGGGTTTCCGTAGTAGCGGTTCGAGGGCTGTGATGTGTGTGTAGTTGAAACGATGGATGCGGTTCTCTCCACGAGTGATATGGATGGCCGTATCCACAAGGGCGTCGACGTATTCTGACAGGCAGAGAGTACAGAGAAGGGATAGAACAAGTTACAGGAAGATCCATTGGCGGACACTTGGGGAATCTGTTAGCATGATCCTTGGGAAACGCCACACACGTTCTTCTTTGGGAAGCGCCAACACTGACCCCTTAGCGAAGCCAAGAGGCAGCCATAAATAGAGGGAGCAAAAGAGAAAGCCAAAAGAAAAAAGTGAAGGGGTCAGCGTTATCGTTTCCCAAAGGGAGTTTCAAAGGGTGATGCTAACGCTTTCCTTAAAAATCACCAAAGGATCGTTTTCTCTCTCTCTCTCTATCTCTGAGCGCTCGGCTTGAGGTTTTTGGGACATCCTGGCGTCTCCTCTTTGAAGCGAATTGCTACACTAACCACAATCGTCTTTCATTTGTTAGTGTTTTAATAAGTAGGCTATGTTTATTTTTCTTATTCAAGGTGCCCTGTAGACCTGTACGTTTTCCCCGAACTGCACAAGGCCCCCGATGGCGCCCTGGAAGCGGAGTTCTACGCCTTCAAGATCCCAGACTCCAACCTGCTCGTGTTCCAAGCGACCGTTCGAACATGCCGCGGTCCATGCGAGCCCGTAAGTACCCGCATATTTTAAGAGATTATAAAACTCGACGTCAATTACTAATCGCATGGCTCTGGTAAAGGCACCATAGCTACTAAGTTAAATAGAAAAAGGCTACATCCTAAGAGTGGGGCCAACCTCATGATAAACGGCTAAACTGATCCGTCAAGGTTGCAAACTTGTCGCATAGAGTTATCGAGCCATTTACAGGATACAAAATATAATTCCCCTCGTGCTCGTTCAAGCTTTTGTTACAAATAGTTGGATATGATATGAATTAATTTCCCTATACTGATTGTCACTAATTTTCGTTAAAAAAAAGTTATCGGTATTTTTTTTTATTATTTCATTATGACCGAATAGAAGTTCTTGCGCTGTCTCAACCCCAAATGACAATAGGCCCACTTATCATCCCACAATATATAAGAGAATTCTACCAGTGAATGAAGAGTAACCTAGTTCATGTTCGTATTTTTGTTTTACATTTGATTTGTAATGATGAATAAAACTAGCAACGAGAAATAAATTCCCATGTGTTGCCATTGTACACTGCAGGTTAAAGGACAGTGCACACTCCTGGTGCTCTTTGCGATCTTGGTAATACGTTGTCGCTCTTCCTTGTTAATGATTCTTGCATTTATCTTTGAAGCTGATCAAAGTATATACTTACGCTGAAAGTAAATTAAAAAATTAAAGAGATTTACAAATCTCTGTAATGCGAAATTAGAGCGCCGCTCTACAGGTATTTTCATTTTGCGATATACTGTGCTAAACTACTTGAGAAAGAGATATCTATACGTACACATATAGATCACTCTTATCAAATACTGGTTCTGCTCCCTTGTCCTCTTCCCTGTCCTCTTCCTCCCTCATAACCTCCTTCCCCGTATCCTCCCCTCCTCCTCCTCCGTACCCTCCCCTTCTCCTCCACACCCTCCCCTCCTCCCATATTTTCACCGCTAAATTTAACAGAAAAATTGACGCGACGTGACCTCAACAGCAAATCAGTTTCCCCGCTAAAGTTAGCGGGGAAAAGGACGTCACATGACTTGTCACTTCACCTAGGGACAAATTCCATTTCTCTGATAAATTTAGCGGGAAAATTGACGTCACGTGACCTCAACACCAATTCAATTCCCCGCTTAATTTATCGGGGAAACTCAATTGGTGTTGAGGTGATGCGACGTCAGTTTCACCACTAAATGTAGCGGGGAAACTGAATGCGTAGTCTCGCATCATGGGAATTGAATTGGTGCATAGGTCTGTGGCGTCCCATAATGCAACGCGCGGTTACGCTGAAGGGGAAGCCGACGCCGCTATACGCGGAAACGGGCGCTTAAGAGCTGCGCTCTAAAAACAAACGCCTGAAACTTCTCAAGATGTGGAGACTTTACGCTTGGTCAAACCGTCGTAGACGAGTATCCATTCACAGGGACACTCTGAAAAGTTACCAAGCTACCATACAACGGATGAAAGGAATGACCTTTCCCATTAACCAGACCCTTCAAACCATCGCTGACAATTCTGCGCAGGTCATCTGCAGCGACCGTGGACGACCCGGGACCTTCCCGTCCTGGGGCCGTCGCAAGCGTGCGGTCTCGAAGCAGCTGGGAGGAGGACCTCAGGTAGCTGTTCCGGTGGCACTTCCCGTGATGAAGATGAACGCCTCGTCCAGTGCTCCTGCTCCGACGAGCCTGGAGTCGGTGATACCTTCCCCGAAGAACTTGACCAGCGCCAACTCCACAGACGACGAGGCGGAGGAAGTCCGGGAGCTTCTGCACGTTTACTTGTCCCGTGCCGACATTCCTCACGAAGCACCCTCTGCGCGTAAGAGTTTTTCGCAATCATTACCGAAACTATGGTGTTTGAAACGCGTCTTTTACAGCTGTGTCTAAAGTCCTATCCCGCCCATGCTTCAAAAGTGGTCACGTAGTAGACAAAAACGACTTCACAAAAGCCGGCATGTGATGTTGTTGGATGTCGCGATCCTGGGGGTTGATGGTAGAAGTCTCAACAAAAAAAAGCACGAACGAACATGAATGTTGCTGTCCTCGCGGAGTTCCAACTCCTGGTTGCCGAAGCATTCCGTGGGTTGTCAAGCTGGAGAAGACCTGCAGGAGGACAGGTGTCTATCACATCCATCATTGTTGCTGTCACACCATTAGGATTGCGGCTGGCGACAACATGACATTTTCATGATGTCATCAGACGGACAAGGAACCACCTTTTTTTGGGCGCGGCATGAACACACAACTCAAAGACGCGTTCCAGGCACCACACCGAAACCTAAACATAATTTTCTTTCACGCATGAACAGACATTGTGAAGTCCAAACGCCAAAAATTGATTGGATTTCACCCGAAATGAAGTGTAACTGGGGCTTTCTAGGCGGCTAGTGGCCACTGAAAAAATTACCCTGGTTCAAAAAATTTATCTTAGGCCAGACGGACTGTTTAAACGGTCACCAGTCACCTATAGAGCGCAAGTTAAGCTTCATTTCAGATGGAGTTCAATTTATTCTTGCGTATGTTTTCTCCACCTTGGGAACTTCGCCTAAAATTATATGTTTATTGACTCCCACTTGTGAAGGCGTAAAGTAGCACGGCGTTATTTAAGAAAAGCATTCAAATTACTGTGTTAGCGCCTGACGATAGTGGGAAGTAATGATTTCCTATCGTTCGCCCGTTTTTGTTCAGTCGAGGCTAACTTCTCCCTTCTTGCATAATTTTATTCATTAGAGCAGAGGTGCGTGCCCTCTTATAATGGGTCAGAGGCAAGTCTATACATACTTTGCAAGGGAGGTTAGGCATACGCTATTTATCTCCTTATCTCCTCCTGTCACGTTATTAAAAAAAACAAATGAGCTCACAGCCTCCATATAATACTTTCAAAAGAGTAGCTAAAAAGGAGAAACACGGTAACCCTATGATCGCCATGACTGCTGTGTTACTTCTTTTAATTTTGAAAGAAATAAAACATTTATTAAAGTTGCAATGAAGGCTAATGTTTTTTTTCTTCTTAGTGTCTGTAGGGGAAGTAAGATAACAAATGGGTAACAAACATGAAAATGCAGGCGGAGCGTGTTGTATATGTAGCTCTCTATTTCCGTGGATTCGCGATCATTGAGTATTCCCAAAAACGCTCCAAACGAGATAACTATTAGAAGTTATTAAACACTGCTAACGGTTTCCTATTTTTTTTTTTCTTAATAAAGGATAGAATAACATTTTACAGTCATGTCCGCGCTTTTATTTCCTGTCGAATATTTATACAATCATCAAACGATGGCCGTGTCTCCTCTGCCAGTGTACAAGAAGCCTACCGTCTGCGTCGCCCAGTCCGGTTACTACGCACTTGTTACAATGCTGGCCCTCCTGATTTGCGCCCTGGTTGGAATCGCTCTCGGTGCAATGCTGTTTGTTCGTCGAGTCAAACTCCAGGTAAGAACTATACCGTTTTTCTTTTATGTTGTTATCTTGCCACCCATGCTGTCTGTTGTTTTGAGGTACAGCTGCAACGGAAAAAGAGTAACACAAGTGACCGACGACCGGAGCTGCAAAATCGCGACACGCGGGGCTATTGTTCCCGAGCGCGCCGATAGCGAGAGTGCCAGTCACGTTCCATGTCTCAAAGAGGGGGGGGGGGGGGGGGGGGGGGGGGGGGGGGGGGGTGGAGGGGGGGGGGGATGGCCGGCAGAAAGCAGCCCATCCGAAAGCCCTCATTTTAACAGCTATCTTGTCTCTCAATTTTCTGCCGGCCACCCCCGCGTTGAGACATGCAACGTGACTGGCACTCTCGCTATCGGCAAGCTTGGGAACAAGAGCGCCGCGTGTCGCGATTTTGCCGCTCCGGTCATCGGTCACTTGTGCTACTCTTTTTCCGTTGAGGCTGTACGTTCGTGAACTAATAGACCCTAAACATATGTCCGCGAATATGGAGTTATTTTGCCTCTGAAGAACATGAAACAAAACTTGTTCAATCAATGTACATATACCTTTCAAAGGAAGGCTTTCAAGGGGTACTCCGGAAATATTTATTAGCTGTTCCAACTAACTATATACCGGGAAACACAGGCCTTTGCCGTTTCCGATATGCGATTTAGTAACGCAAAATCCAAAATAGTTATCGCGAAATCGATAAGTAAAAACGATGCCAAAACCAGCATTCGAATATACCCACGTTTCTCAGTGCTGTGACGTCAGGGGAAGGCAGGCTTGCAGGTCGCGTGGGCAGTCTAAAAATGGACTATGCCAAGCATTTGTTTCGTGCTGCTGCGGAAGCGCTGGAGCGAGCTTCCAAAGCATTCATTTGACACTACAAAACTGCTTGTAATCAGTTGGGAACGAAGTCTACAGTTGAAAGAGTGAAACCCTACATTCCCCTGACATCACATTTTCATTGTTGCTGGTAGAAACTTTTACTTTCAAAAATGCGGTGAGGACTAAATTGTAGGTTGTGAAAAAAACGCTGAAGTACCCATTTAACCCAGTCGCCAGGGCAAAAAATTCCCAGTCATAGGTTGTGGATGTATGCACTGCGTACCGAACCTCAAGCAAAAATCGTAGACAGGAGCCGAAAAAACAAAAGAAAACAAAAAGTAAAGACGTAAACACTGGCGCACTCGCAAGTAACATGTATTGAAGAAAAGAATCCCTTATATAGCTGTGAAAAAACCTTTCGTCACGACTTAGGCACGGTGTAGACCCGTCTAAACCGTGCATAAGTTGCGACGAAAGCTCTTTTCATAGCTATATAAGGGATTCGTTTTTGTTGTTTTTTTTTTTTTTTTTTTCAATGCGTGTTAGTTGCGAGTGCGCCAGTGTTTACTTCTCTTGTCCTTGTGTTTTTCGGCGCCTGTCTACGATCATGTACCAACTGGCCCAAATCGCCATATTAACTCAAGCAAAAAGCTAGTAATACGAATGCTCAGAGTCTGAACGCAATTTACTATGCGGTGAACAAAAATAGTGACACGCAGAAGACGATAATTTGATTGATCAGGTTCGCGAATGCCCGAAAGTGAAGTCCGCGAATGCCCTGCCTCATCTTTTCGCCCGGTTTTTAAAAATTGCCCCGTCATGTCGGGTTAATTATTATGTTAGCTAAATAATTGATGGCTCCGAAAAGAATTATTTTCTGCGGCCCTTTCTTTAGTGCTCCGCTTCTGTCAGCAAAACAACAAACACAAACTTCCAGATTACTTGATCGGTAGTGCACCCTTCATGCAACACTTGTTTGAGGCCTCCTTCAGCAACTGCACGTGGGCCTCATGTTTCTAATCAAATTTTTGTCGAGCGTAGATCTGTGCTAATGCTCACCGCAGCCTGATGGTCCCTGGCTAATATGTGGACAGAGAACTCAAGAAGGTAACTTGGTGTACCTCTGTTATATGAACGTATATTAGGTATTAATATCAGTTCAGGTACCATGGAGCACTTTCAACTATTGAGTGCGTACGCGTGCCTCTATTATGAATCTGATACCAGGTCTTTGTAAAGAAATGACAATACGTAACATGGATTTACAGCAAATTGCCACTCCCGTCTTCTCCTATGATCAGTTTCCAGTCTCTTCTTTTGTTCGTCAGCTTTTTTTTTTTTTTTTGTTTAGTTAAAAATTTACGTTTTAAACAAAAATAAATTGTATGCGGAAATCTCAGTGTCCAGTCCCTCCTGTCCATTAAGATGCTGTTCTTAGTCGATTAGATTCAAACGAAGGCCTGAGTATTCCACAATATTGTTTTCCCGAAGGTAAAGAACACCCAGGCAGACCTGACATCACCCAGCCCGTGCAACATATACGCCTCCCAGTTTCAAGCCCCGGTGTCTCAGTTCCAAGCCCCAGTGTCGAAGTTTGAGGATCCCAGCGAGCCCATCTACACAGACCCTTCGCTCTTCGAACGCTCCAGGTCCTTGCGGAGCCTCACCGTCTGCAATGTGGGCAAACTCAAGGGGGACTTCGACTGAATGCTCTTCCCCGTCCGAACTTTGGCGCGTGGCCCTACGTGTATAGCTACCCCGTGAAATTCTTTCAGTCCCTTGACAAAAACTGAAAAATGATGATCGTTTTTTTTTTTTTTTTTTTTTTTTCGCTGTGCTTTGCACGTGCGCGGTGTCGTTATTGTCCTGGTTAGGACAGGCTTTGAGAGCTGATGCGGCCATCACTGACGTTCGAGGCACATTTTGCAGGATCGTCCCTCAAGGAAGATTGCTGCACGAGCTGGGGTTTTCTTAAGCTTCTACGAGCATGGGTTTATGTTTTGTAGTATGTGCTTTTTTTTGTAACTAATGAACGTCCGGCTGTCCTACTAACATTTATTTGTGTGTGTGTTTGTAAAAACCGAGATTTTATTCATGTCAAGCTAGATGATTCGTGTGTGCCTGCAGTATTTGCGTAAAGAGTGCTGCATTTTACGAACCGTATTCTTTGTGTCTTTCGTTCTCTCGCTAGTGTTTCATCCTCTCCCCTCGTAAGGGAGACGATGCTGAGTTATGTTTCTTTTCTTTTTTAAACCCCTTCTGTTTTCATCTCAGAACCCTTGCCATTAGGACATCTACATCTACATTAAGGGCTAGGACATCTACATTGGGGAATGTTTACCTTCTACGGAGGCCCTTGGTACTAAATTTCTATAATTTTTACGCTGGATTTTATTTTTTTAGAGCGTAGCTTTTAGTCGCCCGTTCCCGGGTTGAGCGGCGTTGGCGTCGGCGTAACCACGCGCGTTGCATTATGGGACATTTTTCCGCTAAAAGCGGAGAAATGTTCCCGCTAAATTTAACGTGAAAATCTTCCTGCTAACTTTAGCAGGAAACTTTTCCCGCTAGCTTTAGTGGGTTAGGTTTCCCCACTAGCTTCTGCGGGGAAATTGACGTCACGTGACCTCAACACGACTTCAGTTACCCCGTTAAATATAGCCGGGAAAATGACGTCACGACTTCGTTTCACGTCACCCATGAACAATTTCAGCGGCAGGAGTAGAGGAGGAGGAGGAGGAAGAGAGAGGAGGAGGTAAGGGTACGGAAGAGGAAGGTCATCCCCTCCGTACCCACTCCTCCTCCTCCTCAAGAGCTGCGCTCTAATTTTGCATTACAGAAATTTGTAAACGTCTTTCTTTCTTCTTTTTTTTTCTCTTTTTTTTTTTTACCGTCTCGCCGCAAAGTTGGAGTAGTCTAAGCTCGTTATAACAGACCTTGATTTTGACCAAGATTTTGGTCTGCTGTTAAAGGAGTATGTTGTGTGCAAATATTTCATTTCATTCCATTTCATTTTATTACCTCAAAGGCACTCAACTTGCGAGCGCATTACATGAGAGGGGAAATTCATAATATACAATTACAATTTCAAAACAGTATTTTCGCGTATATACTATTTACATCTTAGAATAACAAGCACAAAAATGCACTGGGGAAAGTGTGCACACTAAAGAGCAGGAAAAAGAACACATACATGATATAACATTGCAATTTCATATATTGCGATCATAATTGAATGGGTGTAAACAAACTTTCACACAAAAAAGATCAAGATGAAAATGCACAAATATACAACAGCGTGCAAGGCAAATAAATGTCAAGGTAGAGACCGCTTACTAACAGCTCATTCCAAGGTGCTGTTCACATTTTAATTTATATGCTGCTAGGTTAGTCTCCGATACTACTTCGTATGGCGTATCTTTCCAATCTCTAATGCACATGACAATAGGCGATGAGGAAAATAATAGTGTGCGTGATTTGGGCTGCTGAATCTTGAGTTGGTGATCCGTTCTGTGTGATATATGGGAGGGCGGTTCGCAGTAAGTTAGCCTAGAAGTTGATGCGCTATTGAAAATGGTATGAAACAGACATAGCTGTGACAGTCGTCGACGTTTCTCAAGATAATGTAGACCGGCATTGTTTTTAGTGACGTGACGCTAGTGAATGGAAAATAGTCAGAGGTAATAAATCGGGCTGCCTTATTCTCGACCGACTCCAGTCTATCTCCAAGCTATGCCCTATGAGGACTCCAGACAGCGCTAGCGTGTTCTAGTTTTGGAAGTAGCAGCGAATTGTAAGCAAGCAATTTAGTGGACGGGGGTGCGAGAGATATATTTCTTTTCAAGAAGCCAAGGGTTTTATGCGCACTTGCTACCATGCAATCTACCTGATGATCGAGACCAGTTTAAAGTTTCTGAAAAGTGGGCACCAAGGTACTTGTAAACAAACATCCTGTTAATGTCACGTCCTTGGATAGACGATCTACTTGGCGATGTAGAAATGTTCAGGTGTTAACTTTTTGAGACATTAATTAATATTCCTGAGCCAGTCGGTGCACCAAGTTCCAATCCTGTCAAGGTCATTTTGCAATATTAAATGATCGGATGTATCGGATATCTTTCTGTATATGACACAATCTTCAGCGAAAAGTCTAATGATGGATGTTCATGAAGAAGGAAGGTCATTTACATATATTAAAAACAAAAGAGGCTCGAGAACGCTCCCCTGCGGTACACCAGACGATAATCAACATTGATAAGAAAGAAAAGCGCTTATTTTTACGGACTGAGTTCTATTAGAAAGGAAGCAAGCGATCCAGTTAAGAATGCACGGTTCGATGCGGAGTCGTGATATCTTTAGGAGGAGGCGACTATGTGGAACAGTATCAAAAGCTTTGGCAAAGTTGATGAAGATGATATCGGTCTGGTGATTGTCACGAGTGTTGACATGAAGGCCAGTAATGAACTCGAATAGCTGGGTGACACATGAGTGATCTTTCCTAAAGCCAAGTTGGTTTGGAAACAAAAAGTTGAATCGATCGACTTGAGCGAGAAGGTACGTGTATATGACGTGTTCCATGAGTTTACAAAACACACTATTGAAGGATATTGGTCTATAGTTGGTAGGATTCGATGATGGGCCAGATTTAAGGATAGGTGTTATTTGAACATGACTCAAATCGGCAGGAACAATGATAGAGTCGAGGCTTGGCTGAAAAAATAGTGAAAGAACTGGAGATATCAAGTCCCTTGTTACTTTTAAGAGTTTTGAAGAAATTTGATCTCCACAGGGACAGATACCGACTCTTAGGTTTTCAATGAGTTGGGAAATACCTTGAGGTGTAAAAATTAAAAGGGGCATAGGCTCAAGCTGTCTGAAAGAAAAACGAAAGAAGGCAACGGAAAGCGTTTATCTGTAAAAACGCTGGAAAACATCTGTAAAAACGCTGGAAAAAAGTTGTCGAACGCGTTGGCTGCGTCGCCGTTCGATAGTGGCACGCCATACTCATCAGTTAGACCTGGGTGGGCGTCCTTTTTCTTCGTATTAACGACACGCTAAAACTTTTTGGGGTCGGATCGCAAAGCATCTGGTAGTGTCTGGCCATAAAATTTCCTCTTGGCGTTTTTTACTTCATGCTTGCACGTACTTGAAACAGTGTGGTAATTTGTCCAATGTAGGGATGTATTAAACCTCGTAGCATTCTGAAAGAGCCGTTTCTTTTTATTCAGGAGAGTCTTTATAGATCGGGTGAACCATGGAGAGGCCGGATTTGATACGATTAAAAAAGTAGGAATGTGACGTGACAACACTTCTTGAAGTTTACTTCTGATCAAGCTCCAGTTTTTATCGACAGAGCGTGATGCGGTGGTTGCGCGTGTAGTCTATAACGAATTGAGCCATAGCTGTGTTTATGTCTACAGTGTTTGCACGTGAATTGTCGTGAATTTTTTTCCCAGACTTGGTAGAGCGTTGGACAGGGAAGGCTGTATTGACAGAAATAATCTTGTGGTCACTAATCTGGTGAACAATATTGACGCCCAGCACGCACTGAGGATGTGTAGTTAGAAATAGGTCTAAGATGGCGTTATTTCTTGTGGGTTCAGAAACCATCTGGTGAAGACCGTTGATACCTAGAGTTTGAGGAAAAGCGCTGGGACTGAAGTGGGTTAAGACAGTTGTCATGGAGTTGAAAACTCGACCAATTGATACCGGGAAAATTCAAATCTCCTGCGAAAAGTGGGTGATTAGGAAATGATTTAGTTATGGTGCCTACGGAATTATAGAAACATTCATTGAATTTATCATTCTGTAAATTCGGAGGACGATAACAAACACCAAGGAGCAGAATTCGGAAGTCCAGTTGCAAGCGTACCTACAACTTTTTGATACTTCGTTTCAGCTTCGGTGTGAGCGCGGCCGATGTTATGAGCCGAAGGGCCAATCAAACAGCGAAAGGGGCACAACGTCATGGCGTGCTCCCTGCAGTTGATAGGACCAGCCGGTATTCGCCGTCTTTCTGTGCGCGCTCCTCCGCCGGTTAGCCCTATCAAGCGCAGACAGCACATTATGACGCTGCGCTTTTTGCGCTGTTCGATTGGCCCTTCGGCTCATAACATCGGCCGCGCTCGGACCGAAGCTGAAACGAAGTATAGAGGCGAAATGTTTTCAATGACCGAGCAAGTAATATCCTCTATGACAGCGATAAGAACGCCGCCTCCTCTTTGCGTCGTTCGGTCTTTTCTATAAATGTTATAAGTATTAGATAAGTTCGGCACTGCTGATATCGGGGCATAACCAAGTCTCCGTTCCAAATATGATATCTGGTTGACAGCTTACGGTGATTTTTTCAAATTCTACTTGTTTTGAAATGATGCTTCGAAAGTTGGCTACTAAGAATAATCGGGGTAAGTGTGCAATATCAGTACTAGAAGTTTGGGCAAGTCATTCGTTGGAAGCGCTAACTGGGGAATGCCCTCCGAGCTGAAAGTCAGTTTGGCTGGAATAGGAGTACACATAAGTCTGGTTGTTTACGTATAGCTTATCAAACTTAATTTTGTACCTTGTTCCTTCGTCTCTGTACACAGAAGCGTACTCTCGCAGTTTTTGTTGCACCAGCCTGGTTTTATCGGAATAATCTTCCGAGATCGACACTTTTGGTGAAGTTACGTTTTTCAGTTTGGACGCATTACGAAGTATCTCCTCTTTACTTTTGAAGTTTAAAAGCTTTACAATGATCAGCCTATGGAAACCGTCTCTCTTGCGACCGATGC